CTGGTTTAATTATGATCAAGAATTTAAAAAGCAGCACAACAGGGGCAGGACTAAACCAATTCAACCGATAGGTGGAGGCACAGCACGTAGTTTGAAGCTTTTATCATGAGGATGTGGTGATGAATTAACCCGACACTGCTACTGCTTCACAGTCTTAATCTCAGAGAACTACTCCTGTCATATCAGTGCCTGACGATGTCTTCATTGTATGCCTTTGGCTCTTTCTTCATCAGTCTTTACTGTAAGATGTCAAACTTCAGGTCTTTGTGAAAGTCTCTATTTTTTTATATACTTCTATGCCTAAACAGTGATGTTTAAAATATACATTTTTTAGAGGTAATTTTGTTGGATTTTTTTTGTTTGGTTTGTTTTTGCACAAAGATGGTTATTGTATTTCCTCTGCAGGTCAGGTGAGTGCTGTTACATTTCAGCAATCGACTCCCCAGATAGTGGCAGAGAAAAGTGAAGTCCAGATCGATTGCAGTCATAATGATGGGAACCTTCCTGTAATGCTCTGGTATCAGCATATAAAAGAAAATCAGTCTATGACCCTCATTGGGTATGGATATCAAAATACCCGCCAAACATTTGAGGGTCAGTTTGAAGAACAATTCAAGTTGACAAGAGGAAGCGCAACAACAGGAACACTTACTATTCCAAGCGCAGAACTGTCACACTCTGCTGTTTACTTCTGCGCTGCCAGCACACAGTGATGTGGCTTAATGCCACTCCCTTACTAAAAGCATTTTTCCTACACCTGCAGGTGTGATGTGTCTCTTACAGACTTTCGCTGATAAAAACCGTGTTTAACCTACAACAACACAAACTTGGAGGATGTCAGCTGTGATCGGGTTTCTTCTCATCTTGCTTTCAAGTAATTATTTCAAATTTTCTTGCACTTTTTACAACACTTCTTATTTTAACATGACTTCTACATTAGCTTCTTTTAATAGCTGCCTTTCTCCCCACGCAGGTCAAGCCAGCAGTGTGACCTTTCAACCATCTCATCCAAGAATAGTCAATGAAAAATCCAATGTTGAAATTACATGCAGTCATGATAAAAATGACTTCTATCTAATGCTTTGGTACCAGCAAAAAGAAAATGGTTTAATGAGCCTCATAGGATACAGCTACTTCGGCAATGTCCCTGTCAAGGAAGAACAATTTGACAATCGCTTTGAGATTACAAGAGAAAATATCCAAACAGGAGCTCTGAGCATCAGCAGCGTGATTGTATCAGACTCAGCCATGTACTTCTGTGCTGCCAGCACACAGTGATGTGTTTTGGTGTAATGCCAATGCTAAAAACCTTGTTCTGACTGAACCAGGCTGCTGAAATGTGCCTCAAAACAAATGTGTTTTTAGCCAAATTTTCAGTGGTTCAAACTCACAGTATCTTTACTCCACATACACACCAGTGAGCCTGGGGTGCCCACTTCCTTTAACCAGTTTTGGAGACCCTCTGAGTTCATTGTTTACTGTTTGGTCCTTGTCAAAGTTTTTTAAAAATGTTTTTACACTTGCCAAGTACTTCTTTTTACAACACATCAACTTCACTTGCTGACATATATTTAACTCTTTAACTGGTACATCTGGTACATCATCATTCTTATTCAATTTGCAGGCTACATGGTGTAAAAAGAACCAAACGTTTACATTAAAAGGTGAAGCTGTAATTGTTAGCATAAACAGTCTAATGAAATAAACATAGCAGAAAAAGGGATTTCTCTGTTTATTCCATTCTGGTGTCATTTTTGAGTTTCTACTGTAGTTTATAACAGTCAAATTTATTAAAATTTGATATGTGATCTTATAACTTTGTGTTTGTAATGTAACATAATGTGTGGCTTTAATTTGAACGTGTTAAAATAATACAACAACAGTTAAATAATATCCATTATAATTAACATGTTCAAAAAGGAGTTTTGTGGTGACAATCTCATATCACAATATCATGTTTTGCTTCTGGCTTTAATCAAGTAAATTAGTTGATCAAAACCGGTCATCTTATAAGTTTGGCAGGTAAAATAATTTCATATAATTTAAAATATTTTTTTAATATAATTAAAATGTAGACAATAACTTTTTCTTATTTGCAATGATGTTGCATGATGCTGTCACAGCAGCACAGAATACTGGCAACATTTCAAAAAGAACAGCAGTCCATCATGAAGGAGAGTTATAGATGATACTTCTCAAATCATGTGATCATGTGATCTCAGCTCATGATGTCTTTTGCGTTGAATGTGGTGAGGTTTGCATCTGCTGTATCATTCCACTGAAGGCAGCTCATCACTAACATGGTTATAGCAGTTATTTATTTCTCATTTTTTATTCACTCTGGTGGGTGCTCTGTGAATTTACTCACACTTTATTTACTATACTTACTATATAAGTGACAAATCTGAGTAAATTCACTTTTTTTTCTCTGTTTTTTCTCTCATGGCTTCTAGGTCTGACTGTTGTTGTTCTTCAGTCTGAAGATCAAATGTCTGACCCAGGGAGAACAGTGACGCTGGAGTGCAAAATGGGTTCAGGGTTCAGCATGAGCAGCTACACCATGCTCTGGTACAGACAGAACCACCACGGAGCTCCAGTCGACTACCTTTTAAATGAATATGATAAAACTGTGGGACGCTTAAAGTCATTTCTCGAGGCATCCAAAAACAACTTCTCTCTACAAATAACTGAGCTGCATATGAATGACAGCAGCACCTACTACTGCGCTGCCAGTCACAGTGATACACACAGACCAGACACTCATACAAATAGCAAGTGTGTCTGTCACACATCACATATAACAGGAAGGGGCTGTGGCTTGTTTGGTTTGATATAAAATTTTTATACAGATGGAGCAGTCTACAAATCTTCAAAGTTACACAGAACTGACCTAAAACAATTTGGTGCATTTACTTTTAATATCAGATAAAAGTTAATGACTAACACCAATTACCACTTGCACAAAGAATAAGCCAAAACATTTTAAAGTCACATGTCTAACTGTTACATCTGTGTGTCTGTGCACACCAAAAGAGTTTAGACCATACCGTATTTATTGGAAGCAATAGATTTGTTTGTAAATCAGAATTTTGCATCACCATCAGCCTCACATGCAGCTGCACAGTCAATCCAATAAAGGATGAAGACCGCTGGTTTGAGGTTTAGTAAAATTGTGAAAAGAGCAAACAAATCTTCAGAAAAGTAAGAAAAAAACAACCCTAAGAGAATAATCAGTATCAGAATCTCTGGAGAAAGGAAATTAAGCTGCAGTTGGCTTGGTGGCCACTGGGAGACTGCTGCTGTAAAAAGGAACCCCTTCAGATTGTCTGTATGAAAAACTGTGGGATGTTCATCTTGTTTCAGAAGCTTTAACTGCAGCAGCTTAATAAGTTGCATCAGTGCTGTGCCTGCTCAGCCTGTAAGAAATTTAAATGCAGAAAGATATATTTTTATTTGTCATATTATAATCAATGTAAACATGAATTTCCTCTTTTTTGTGCTTTTGATATTCACTGGTAAGAACATTTATACTCATATTACATAACTATAATATCTCTGGAAATTCTTCATCATATTTTTTCACTTAATTTGTTGACTCGCCTTTGTGTCTTTGTTTCCAGATTTCTCCCGGGGTGTTAAAATTGATCAGCTTCAAATTATTTTCAGTCGTGAAGGAACCAAAAATGTGACCCTGGATTGTAAACAAGATGATAGTCAATATTACTACATGTACTGGTACAGACAAAGCAGCAGTGGGAAACTGGAGTTAGTGACATTTTCTCCTGGTCAAAATTCCTGGAACATTGAAGCTCCTTTTGAAAAAATAAAGTACACCATGTCTCGGCCTTCCGTGCTTGAATCTACCCTCCAGATACACCCTGTTGAGCCTGAAGACACGGCTCTGTATTACTGTGCTTCCAGAATAGCACAGTGGTTAAGAAAGCATCTGCAGCTAAACAACAACCTCACAGGAAGAAGAAACTGGAAGATAAGAGGAAGATGGATAAATCTGAAAGCTGATGTGTTTAACTCTAAGAGCCCCATAAAATAAGAATCAGGACTACATGACATAAAAGGAAACAATAATTGTTATAAAAGCAAATAAAGCACATTTATCTTATATATGAAGTATAAGAACTGTCTCTGCAAAGTTCAGTCATGTCTGTGCATCACCACAAAGCTGATCTGTTCAGATAAGTGAGCAGGTGTTGGTACTCAGTATATGACTACTTTAGTTAACTGTAACATTTGCAGTGTAAATTATAATGATTTAATACTGGAGTGTTATTACTGATAAATCTACCCAGATGTTTGAAATTGGCAATAACAGAATATCCAGAATATAATGACTTTGACAGTTTTCCACTGGATTAATTCTGGTCAAAAACACTTTATGCCACCAGAACAACTATGACCTATCAAGGTTTGGACTCCCCAATATCTCTGCTGGTGTCTAATAGTATCAGGCAGATCCTTTCAGTTCTGTCAGTTGTGAGGTGGGTCTTCCACTGATTGTTGTTCCAGGGGTCAGCATAAGAAGTCTGTCATTTCACTGTCATTTCAATAATACAAGTTTTCACTTGTATTATTATTTTGAAAGAGATCTGTTTTGGTTTTGTTTTGGTTTTGGTCTCTGCCTGAAATACATGCATTTAATTTTTATTCTGCTTTCTCCACATTTCAGCAATCTCCTCACCAAACAGTGGCACAGAAAAGTAAAGTCCAGATTGACTGCAGTCATAATGATGAGAACCTTACTCTAATGCTCTGGTACCAGTATATATAGTATCAGTATATATAACAGAATAAGTCTATGGCCCTCACTGAGTATGGATATCAAAATGCAAGAGGGAACTTATCATTCAAAGAGCAGAACTGTCACACTCTGCTGTTTACTTCTGCGCTGCCAGCACACAGCGATGTGGCTTAATGCCACTCCCTTACTAAAAGCATTTTTTCCTATAAGCTCATGAGTGACGTGACTCTTTTCACAGACCTTTGCTGAACGAAGCCGTGTTTAACCTACAACAGCACAAACTTGGAGGATGTCAGCTGTGATCGGGTTTCTTCTCATCTTCCTTTCAAGTAATTATTTCCAATCTTCCTCTACTTTTTACAACACTTATACGATGTTTAACATGACTTCTACATTAGCTTCTTTTAACATGTGGCTTCTCCCCCACACAGATCAAGCCAGCAGTGTGATCTTTCAGCCATCTCACCCAAGAATAGTCACTGAAACAGCCAATGTTAAAATTGCATGCAGTCATGATGATAATGGCCTCAATTTAATGCTTTGGTACCAGCAAAAAGAAAATGGTTTAATGAGCTTCATAGGATACAGCTACATAGGCAGTGTCGCTGTCATTGAGGAGCAGTTTGAAAATCACTTTGAGATTACAAGAGAAAATATCCAAACAGGAGCTCTGAGCATCAGCAGCGTGATTGTATCAGACTCAGCTGTGTACTTCTGTGCTGCCAGCACACAGTGTTGTGTTTTGGTGTAACGTCAATGCTAGAAACCTTGTTCTTACTGCTCTAGGCTGATGGAATATGCCTCAAAACAAATGACTGATTTGGCTTTAACAACAAGGTGTAGTTTTTAATGGGTGGAGAATAATATATTTTCTTTCCTTTTAGGGCACAAAAACTAAAAAAAAATACACTAAAATGCCGCTGTCTATTTCTAAGTAGCTACTACAATAAAAGGAGGTGGAACTCTTCATTTAGGGTGAATTATGATTTCACTTTTCACAACTAGAATAAAATATCTTCTTTCTTTAGCTCTGTTTGCTGACATTTGCCACCAAAACTAAAAACATTAAAACCACATGATTGATCCTGGTAAGACACCGTTCATGCCAACAGAGCAGCTCTGACCTATCAACTCGCCACAATACCTGATCTGAGATCTGTAATCACTCATCTGCCTGCCTTCCTGCGTGTTTGGCTGTTTTTCTGTTCTTTGCATGATTACCAGTTTCTCACATTGTCACTGTCAATACTGACATCATTATTCTAGTCCAATCATCTTCTCGCCTGCCTTCTTTGAGCCAATGAGTCTTCTCAAGTTTTAAATATGAGCTCTTCATCATTCTCCCTAAAAAAGTGTCTTTCATGCAACACACCTCCTCCCCATCTCCGCCACTTTTCAGCAGCTGCATCATTACACTGAAGACAGTTCATTGCTAACATGGAGGTGGCAGTTATTTACCTGTACCTATCATTTATTATTCACTCTGGTGAGTGCTGTGTATTTACTCAAGCCTTATTTATTACTTAATACCTACTTGACTCTACATTAAATTTAGTTTCCTACTTGTTCTCTACCATGGCTTCTAGGTCTGACTGTTGTTGTTCTTCAGTCTGGAGATCAAATATCTGACCCAGGGAGAAAAGTGTTGCTGGAGTGCAAAATGGGTCCAGGGTTCAGCATGGGCAGCTACACCATGTTCTGGTACAGACAGAACCACCACAGAGCTCCAATCGAGTTCCTTATGAGGGAATATGAGAAACCTGTGGGACGCTTAGAGTCATTTATCGATACATCCAAAAACAACTTCTCTCTACAAATAACTGAGCTGCATATGAATGACAGCAGCACCTACTACTGTGCTGCCAGTCACAGTGATACACACAGACCAGACACTCATACACATAACCAGCGTGTTTGTCACAGATGGCGTAAAGCAGGAAGGAGCTGTGGCTTGTTTGGTTGTAAATGTCCTGGTGGAAATATAAGACAGAACATCTTCTGATCTTCAGGTCTATGTAGAATTAGGCAGACATTACATTAATTTATTTTTAATATCAGAAAAATGCTAATAACTAATATCAAATTTGTCTTACACAAATAATAAGTGTACAGAAGCAGATAAAAGTCATGTGCTTCTGGTGTACACCAAAAGAGATTAAGCCACGCAGTATTTTTGTAGGTAATAACTTTGTTTATAAATCCAAATTTTGCATCACAATCTGCCCTCACTCTGTATGGAGGTGCATAATTAATTCAATATGGGACAAAAACGGTGAGTTCGAAGCTTTTACTGGGTATAAAATTATGAAAAGAGCATGCAATAAACTGACTGATCATAAATAAAAGTATCAAAAACCAGGATGAAAACAGGAAAGGTGGCTTGCAGAAATCAACATTAGTTCATTTACCATTAAAGTGATATAAACTGCCCCCTTGAGACCTGCAAGCAGCACTGTCACAGTACACTGGGGAGAGGATAATTAAGCTGCAGTTGGTTTGGTGGCCACTGGGAGACTGTTGCTGTAAAAAGGAAGCTGTGGAAAACTGTGGGTTGATGACATCTTGTTACAGAAGCTTTGACTGCAGCAGTTCAATAAGTTACATCAGTGCTGTGACTGCTGTAAATATAAATGCAGAAAATTAAATAATTTTTATGTTTTGTTATAAAAATGAATCTCCTCTTGTTTGTGCTTTTTATATTCACTGGTAAGAGCATTTATACTTATATTAGATAACTGTAATGTCTCTGGTAATTCTTCTTTATATTTTTCACTGAATTTGCTGATTTTGCCTTTGTTTTCTGTGTTTTCTTGTTTTACAGATTTCTCCCGGGGTGTTAAAATTGACCAGCCTCAATTCATTTCAAGCAGTAAAGGATCTGCATTTGTGACTCTGAAATGTGAACATGATGACAGACAACATTACTACATGTACTGGTACAAACAAAGCAGCAGTGGGAAACTGGAGTTAGTGGCATATTCTACTGGTCAAGATAACTCGTTCATTGAAGCGCCTTTTGAAAAAATGAAGTACACCATGTCTCGGCGTTCTGTACTTAACTCCACTCTGCAGCTACACCTTGTTGAGCCTGAAGACACGGCTCTGTACTACTGTGCTTCTAGTAAAACACAGTGGTTCAGGAAGCCTGAGCAGCTAAACAACAACCTCGGTGGGAAAAAAAAAATCCCTACATGATGGGAGGATGGATAAATAGAAAGGCTTGTATCTGTAACTCTGATAGCCTCTTAAAATAAATTTCAGAGATATACCAATGTGACATTATAGGACAAAAGAAATCTTATGAACAATAATAAAGAACATTTACTGACACATATAAAGTACAAGAACTGCCTGTGCAAAGTTCAGTCATGTCCCTGCATCACCACAAAGCTGATCTGTTCAGATAAGTGAGCAGGTGTTGGTGCAGTAAAGATATTTTACTACGTTCAGTATTGTTTTCATGACATAAAATAAAATTATGCCATTTAATTATTTGCTACTACAAGCTGGATTTGCACCTTTTGGATGATATTTCTCATATTCTTTAAATTATTTTCAAAATCAGTAAATAATTTTCAATAGCCACGAAGGAACATGTGCATCAAGGGACACGTGAGCAGTTTTAAGGAGGCAGGAATGAAGGGGTGTGGTGTAAAGAAGAGAGAGGATATAACTCAACATGTATAAGTTTGTTAGACACAAGCGGCATGTAAATGTTCAACCGCAGAGATGTTAGTTTTGTAATTTTGCTGTGAAAGCAGTTTATTGTGTGATTTCACATATCTACATTTAGGTTTACTTTCTAGAATGCCTCCAGCTCTGTACACATTTGGATTTATACTCGTGGTCCTTACAAGTAAGCTTAACAGTTTTGTCTTTTTTTGTTGAATTGCAATGCTCAAATTCACCTCACGTCCCCTTTGTTTTTCTCACAGGAAAAGTGGAGAGTGTTACCTTTGAACAGTCGTCTGCTCAAGTTGTGAACAAAGGGACTGAGGAGCTCAGGATTAACTGCAGTCATGATGGCAACAGCTTACAAGTAATGCTGTGGTACCAGCACAAGCAGAGTGATCAGGCAATGAGCCTCATTGGGTACACAGTACCCCAGAGTAAACCAAACTATGAGAGCCAGTTCACAGACCGGTTTGAGATAAAAAGAGACAACACAGTGAAAGGCTCTCTGATCATCAAAAGCCTTAATCTGTCAGACTCAGCTGTGTATTTCTGTGCTGCCAGCACACGGTGACGTGTTTCATATCCCTGCTATACTAAAAACCTCTGATAGAAAACTAATGACAAAGGCACAAAAACTTCCAAAAATGGGTTCAGGCTTTAGCATGAGCAGCTACACCATGTTCTGGTACAAACAGAACCACCATGGAGCTCCAATCAAGTTTCTTATGAGGGAATACGAGAAACCGTTGGGACACTTAGAGTCATTTATCGATACATCCAAAAACAACTTCTCTCCACAAATAACTGAGCTGCATATGAATGACAGCAGCACCTACTACTGTGCTGCCAGTCACAGTATTTTTGTAGGTAATAACTTTGTTTATAAATCCAAATTTTGCATCACAATCTCCCCTCACTCTGTATGGAGGTGCATAATTCATTTAATACGGGACAAAGACATTGGGTTTGAAGCTTTTACTGGGTATAAAATTATGAAAAGAGCATGCAATAAACTGACTGATCATAAATAAAAGTATCAAAAACCAGGATGAAAACAGGAAAGGTGGCTTGCAGAAATCAACATTAGTTCATTTACCAGTAAAGTGATATAAACTGCCCCCTTGAGACCTGCAAGCAGCACTGTCACAGTACACTGGGGAGAGGATAATTAAGCTGCAGTTGGTTTGGTGGCCACTGGGAGACTGTTGCTGTAAAAAGGAAGCTGTGGAAAACTGTGGGTTGATGACATCTTGTTACAGAAGCTTTGACTGCAGCAGTTCAATAAGTTACATCAGTGCTGTGACTGCTGTAAATATAAATGCAGAAAATTAAATAATTTTTATGTTTTGTTATAAAAATGAATCTCCTCTTGTTTGTGCTTTTTATATTCACTGGTAAGAGCATTTATACTTATATTAGATAACTGTAATGTCTCTGGTAATTCTTCTTTATATTTTTCACTGAATTTGCTGATTTTGCCTTTGTTTTCTGTGTTTTCTTGTTTTACAGATTTCTCCCGGGGTGTTAAAATTTACCAGCCTCAATTCATTTCAAGCAGTAAAGGATCTGCATTTGTGACTCTGAAATGTGAACATGATGACAGACAACATTACTACTTGTACTGGTACAAACAAAGCAGCAGTGGGAAACTGGAGTTAGTGGCATATTCTACTGGTCAAAATAGCTCGAAGACTGAAGCTCCTTTTGAAAAAAGGAAGTACACCATGTCTCGGCCTTCCTTGCTTAACTCCACTCTGTATATATACCCCGTTGAGCCTGAAGACACGGCTCTGTACTACTGTGCTTCTAGTAGAACACAGTGGTTCAGGAAGAATGAGGAGCTAAACAACAACCTCGGTGGGGGAAAAAAAATCACTACATGATGGGAGGATGGATAAATAGAAACTCTGATAGCCTCTTAAAATGAATCTCATAGATATACCAATGTGACATTATAGGACAAAAGAAATCTTATGAACAATAATAAAGAACATTTACTGACACATATAAAGTACAAGAACTGCCTGTGCAAAGTTCAGTCATGTCCCTGCATCACCACAAAGCTGATCTGTTCAGATAAGTGAGCAGGTGTTGGTGCAGTAAAGATATTTTACTACGTTCAGTATTGTTTTCATGACATAAAATAAAATTATGCCATTTAATTATTTGCTACTACAAGCTGGATTTGCACCTTTTGGATGATATTTCTCATATTCTTTAAATTATTTTCAAAATCAGTAAATAATTTTCAATAGCCACGAAGGAACATGTGCATCAAGGGACACGTGAGCAGTTTTAAGGAGGCAGGAATGAAGGGGTGTGGTGTAAAGAAGAGAGAGGATATAACTCAACATGTATAAGTTTGTTAGACACAAGCGGCATGTAAATGTTCAACCGCAGAGATGTTAGTTTTGTAATTTTGCTGTGAAAGCAGTTTATTGTGTGATTTCACATATCTACATTTAGGTTTACTTTCTAGAATGCCTCCAGCTCTGTACACATTTGGATTTATACTCGTGGTCCTTACAAGTAAGCTTAACAGTTTTGTCTTTTTTTGTTGAATTGCAATGCTCAAATTCACCTCACTTTGTTTTTCTCACAGGAAAAGTGGAGAGTGTTACCTTTGAACAGTCGTCTGCTCAAGTTGTGAACAAAGGGACTGAGGAGCTCAGGATTAACTGCAGTCATGATGGCAACAGCTTACAAGTAATGCTGTGGTACCAGCACAAGCAGAGTGATCAGGCGATGAGCCTCATTGGGTACACAGTGCTTATGGGTGAACCAAACTATGAGAGCCAGTTCACAGACCGGTTTCAGATAAAAAGAGACAACACAGTGAAAGGCTCTCTGATCATCAAAAACGTTAATCTGTCAGACTCAGCTGTGTATTTCTGTGCTGCCAGCACACAGTGACGTGTTTCATATCCCTGCTATACTAAAAACCTCTGATAGAAAACTAATGACAGTGGCATAATGTTTTTTCTTTTTGGACGTTGAAACTGTTCATCTTTTTATCAGGGCAACATTGGGGTATAACAAATCTATGTATTCTTTATGAAGTGTAATGTACCTATACATATGTAACAAATTTCCCAGTTTAACTACATTTAAGTTAATTTCAGCTTTAGTCTTTTTATGTGAAAAACTTTTTCTATTTTTTTTCTCTATAAAATATGTGCTTCACAGTACAACAATGCTAATCTAGCTGTTTCTGTTCCAATGTTGTTGCTTTTTGCATGTCTGCTTTAATATTAATAAACAGTAAAATATATTAAAGTTCGTGTGATCTTATAACTTCTGGCTACTTAGACTCGACAGACTTGATGCACACTGGTTTTGATGCAATGAGCGGTTTTTAAAGAATGATTTATTACTCTAATTATTTAGACAAAAAGTGTTTGCAAAGGAGTTTTTCAACTGTGGAAGTAGTCCTAAACCAAAACATCATAAGGGTGACATAATAAAGACTTTTTAAGCAAAACTTTCATGAGGTAATAAGACAAGATTCTCAATATATAAAGCAGTAATATTGAACATTACATTACTTTTTTAAAAAATGATTGTTTCCATTACCTTTGGTTTGTTAGGATTAAATATGTACACCTACACAATCAATTAAATGTCAATAAATATATGTCAACATTGTTTTCAAAATGGTCGTATTGAAGAAAATTGTAGATGATACGTCCCCCAAATCACGTGGTCGTGTGACCTCATGATGCTTTTGTACTGAATACAGTGATGTTGCAACAGCTGCATCATTTCACTGGAGACAGCTCAATACTAACATGGTTGTCGCAGTTATTTACCTCTCGTTTTTTATTCACTCTGGTGGGTGTGTTGGCTGTGTATTTACTCACACTTTATTTACTGCCTAATAAGTGACAAATCTGAGTAAATTCACTTTTTTTCTCTGTGTTTTCTACCATGGCTTCTAGGTCTGACTGTTGTTGTTCTTCAGTCTGAAGATCAAACGTCTGACCCAGGGAGAACATTGATGCTGGAGTGCAAAATGGGTTCAGGGTTCAGCATGAGTGGCTACACCATGCTCTGGTACAGACAGAACCACCACGGAGCTCCAATCGAGTTCCTTGTAAAAGAATATGATAAACCTGTGGGACGCTTAGAGTCATTTCTCGATGCATCCAAAAACCTCTTCTCTCTACAAATAACTGAGCTGCATATCAATGACAGCAGCACCTACTACTGTGCTGCCAGTCACAGTGATACACACAGACCAGACACTGATACACATAACCACCCTGTCTGTCACAGATGGCATAAAGCAGGAAGGGGCTGTGGCTTGTTTGGTTGTAAAAGTCAGAGCACCTTTGTCCTGGTGGAAACATAAGTTTAAAATAGAACAGACTTAAAGAAGTCCAGACGCTTTTCTTTGCAAGCTCCTTTGAAAATAGAACAGACTTCAGCTCTTCAAATGTATGTAGAAATATGTAGAAATTCTAGAACATTTACATGGATTTATTTTTGATATCAGATCAATGAAATGTAACGACAGAAATCTGTCAGCATTGTTTCACATTTTTCAAAGCCATCCAATGGAGCATAACAGAGTCTTCACCACGACAATTGTGGGATCAGGGCCTCATGTTTGACATCCCTGAACAAGAACTTCTGTGTGTTTGCAACAAAAGCGATTAGACCATGCAGTCGTTATTGGAGATAATAGCTTTTTTGTAAATCCCAGCTTGGCATCACCATCTGCCCTCACTCTGTACGCAGATGCACAATTTATCCAATACAGGATACAAAAAAGGGAAGAGAATTAACATAAGTGCAGTCTATGTAGTTAGCAGATACAGCGGTTAGTGATAAAAAACTGCCCCCTTGAGTCCTGCAAGCAGCACTGTCTCATTACGCTGAAGAAATTAAATTAAGCTGCAGTTGGCTTGGTGGCCACTGGGATATGGTTGCTGTAAAAATGAACCCCTTCAGATTGTCTGTATGAAAAACTGTGGGTTGATGACATCTTGTTTCAGAAGCTTTAACTGCAGCAGTTCAATAAGTTGCATCAGTGCTGTGCCTGCTCAGCCTGTTAGAAATACAAATGCAGAAAGATATATTTATTTGAAATAATTTAATAACTGTAAAAATGAATTTCCTCCCATTTGTGCTTTTTATATTCACTGGTAAGAACATTTATACTTATATTAGATAACTGTAATATCTCTGGTAATTCCCCATCATATTTTTTCACTGAATTTGTTGATTTGTCTCTTTGTTTCCAGATTTCTCCCGGGGTGTTAAAATTGATCAGCCTCAGTTTATTTTCAGCTATGAAGGAACCGCAAATGTGACCCTGGATTGTAAACAAGATGACAGTGACTATTACTACATGTACTGGTACAGACAAAGCAGCAGTGGGAAACTGGAGTTAGTGACATATTCTCTTAGTAAAGATTCTTGGAACATTGAAGCTCCTTTTAAAAATTCACAGTACACCATGTCTCGGCCTTCCTTGCTTGAATCCACCCTGAAGATACACCTCGTTGGGGCCGGAGACACGGCTCTGTATTACTGTGCTTCCAGTATAGCACAGTGGTTCAGGAAGCCTGAGCAGCTAAACAACAACCTCAATGAAAAAAACACGACGAGTTGGGGAAGATGGATAAATAGGAATGATTATGTGTTTAACTCTGATGGTCCCTTAAAATGAATTTAAAGGAAATACCAATATGACATGAACAGATACAATCATTTTTATAAAAAACAAATAAATAACCTTTATAAATACACATAAAGTACAAGAACTGCCATTTCACAGTTCAGTCATGTCCCTGCATCACCACAACGGTGATCTGTTCAGATAAGTGAGCAGGTGTTGGTACAGTAAAGATATTTTACTACATTCAGTATTATCCTCACAAACAGTTTGTTATCAACATCCACGTGCTTTAGTTTCTACTTCATTCATTTATTTATTTTGGTGTGTTCGGTTTGATTGGATCAAGTTCAGAAGATTATCACACACTGACCTCTACTGGGTTTATACGGGATAACAATTAATCCAAATAAAGTGCAATTTATACTAAATATTATAGCTACTGTACACATGCTCTCATAAAATGCTTATAGTTTGCACTATTAAGTCTGTTCTTAATGAAATTTTAGGTTTAAACATGAGAACAATTCTTGTGCTGCTAATTATTTACTCATCCTTAAATGTCAAACATGTAAATATACATCAGCTTTTACACACTGAACTGATGGGATGTTTGAATATATAATTAAGTTCTGGAATGTTCCAAAATACATCATAAAAGTTAGCAATAAATTAGAAATTTGAATAAGAATAATTGAAATGTAAGGTATTATAAGGTAAGTATAGCCCAGGCTAATTTGCAGTGGAGCAAATGTAACTAAATAAATATATTTAGACATAAATACCGTTTTAAGGACATAACTACGTTACTCAGTATGTGATTACTTTAGTTAGCTCAAACTTATGTTGTGTAAAATATATCAAATAAATATTTTTTACATCAGTATCTACATACAATTTTATATTATTATGAAATGGCTCATTGTGTTCTTGACTATAACTATTATCTTACAATTCACTTCAGAATAATAACCTTTGCTCTTTTATTTCTATGATTCTATATCCACACAATCCAATATTATGTTATAATTTGTCAAAATGTCCTTTCAGTTATACAAACTATATCATTTATGTGACAAATTTACTCTTATGAACTCGACTAGACAGCAGAAGTTCATCCAGAAACAATGAGATTTTAATTTACTGGTATTACTGGTATCAAATACTTAGTGCTTGGTTGTTTTGCATACCATGCTTTTATAGCATTCTATGCGGGGTCTTATCTGAAGGTTACAGTTACCAAAATGCGTGAGCATCCATTTATAGTATTTCTCATCTTGCTTGCCAATAACTGATTGGATAAAGCGCTGTGACCACCAGAGATGTCACTTCCTCTGAGCAACTACAAACACAAATAAAAAAGTCTCTTTGTGTTTTTTCTGCCCTCCCTTCCTGCTTCTTTTCTTAGCTGTCACAGAAATAGCAGCAGTCAGGTTGGAGCGCGTTCAGCCGTCAGTCAGCCCGACCTGCACAGCTGCGCTCACAGGCAGACAGAGATGGAGGCTGAGATAGGGAGAAGCGGGGTGGGGGAAGGAGAGAGGAGAGAACGAAAAAGACGCAAGGTTTTTGTGTGATGCTTTTTCACCGTGGGGACAGGGAGCCACGGTGATACAATCCCATAGAGCCGTCGTACAAAAACCTCCTCCCATTAAAATGCATTGTGAAGACTGCTACATGTAACTTAAAACGTTGTTAGAGCGGAAAAATCACTAATCTGAAGGTGTCTGGGATGGAGGAACACTTTGGTAGCGAAAACCTATTCCTAAGAAGAAATTTTAATGGGAAATAAGTTTTTAAAGACTTGCAATTCATATTTGCAGCCGTTGGATGTTTGTATTGTTATCTCAACAAACACAAAACAAATTTGGTCATTGTAAAGATCACCCTCCATGTTTAAAGTGTTTAAAGATCACCTGGATTATTAGAATATGTGTAAACTGGATGTTTCTGGAAAGTTTTGAGAGTTTTTGGCAGAGGAGGCCTACAGCGTGACTCTGGAGCTGAAGCTTACTTTGGAAAAGGAACAAAACTCACTGTTTTAGGTAAGTTGGATATCTCAAAGCTTTGATTCGTCCTATTACACAGAAATTGGTGTAAATGCTGGTTTGACAGTGAAGGAAAATTCTGTTCTCATAAAAATCTAAAATATTGAGCTAAAAACGGAGCACTGTGACCTACAATAATCCTGCTTACTTTGGCCAAGGAACCAAGCTGACAGTTTTAGGTAAATATTCCACTTTACTTCCATTTTTTGACAAATATGACATTGGCTACAGCCTCAGTGTTAACATAAATGTTCATTAATACTAACTAAAGGTTATTCTGGTGTAAAAAGAGTTTCATGCTGAGTATTTTGCACTGTGACCAACAACTACCCTGCTTACTTTGGCAAAGGAACCAAGCTGACAGTTTTAGGTAAATATTCCACTTTACTGCAGCGTTTTGTGAACTGTAAATTTGTTTAAAGCCTTAGCATTGACAGGAGTATTAGTAAAGACTATTGTCAAAGATTATTCTGATACAAAAACAGTTTCATGCTGAGTATTTTGCACTGTGACCAACAACCAACCTGCTTACTTTGGCCAAGGAACCAAACTGACAGTTTTAGGTAAATATTTCATTTTACTAGAATTTTTGATAAATATGACTTTAACTATAACCATAGTATAAACAGAGGTATCCATGAAGACTATCCTTAGAGAGGATTCGGATACAAAAACAGTTTCATGCTGAGTATTTTGCACTGTGACCTACACTGATCCTGCTTATTTTGGCCAAGGAACCAAACTGACAGTTTTAGGTAAATATTTCATTTTATTTCTGTGTTCTGATGAATGTACCTTTCATCAGAAGCTTAGTACTGACAGGATTATTAGTAAAGACAATCCTCAGAGATAATTCTTGTGGAAAAACAGTTTCTTGCTGAGTGTTTTTGCATTGTGTCAGGGCAGCGAAGCTTACTTTGGAAAAGGAACAAAACTGACTGTATTAGGTAAATATTTCACTTTATTTCTGTGTTCTGATGAATGTACCTTTATTCAGAAGCTTAGTACTGACAGGATTATTAGTAAAGACAATCCTCAGAGATAATTTTGGTTTCTTGCTGAGTGTTTTTGCACTGTGACAGACCAGCGAAGCTTACTTTGGAAAAGGAACAAAACTGACTGTATTAGGTAAATATTTCACTTCACTACTCTGTTCCAAAAATGTACCTTTCATCAGAGGCTTAGTATTGACAGGATTATAAGTAAACACAATCCTCAGGCATAAAAAGAGTTTCATGCTGAGTGTTTTTGCATTGTGACAATGCTAACGAAGCTTACTTTGGCCAAGGAACCAAACTGACAGTTTTAGGTAAATATTTCACTTTATTTCTGTGTTTTGATAAATGCAATTTTGATTAGAGCCTTAGTGTTGTCAGAAGTATTATCAAAGACGTTTGTCAAAGGTTATTCTGGAACAAAAAGGGTTTAATGCTGAGTATTTTGCACTGTGAACACTGGCAATCCTGCTTACTTTGGCCAAGGAACCAAACTGACAGTTTTAGGTAAATATTTCACTTTTTCCTCTGTGTTGGATGAATATTGATTTGTTTAGAGGATTAGTAAAAGTGCTGGCAGAAGTATGAGCAAAGATTATTCCCAAAGAGAAGTGTGGTAGAGAAAGAGTTTCATGCTGAGTATTTTGCACTGTGACAAACACCGAAGCTTACTTTGGAAAAGGAACCAAACTGACTGTATTAGGTAAGTAAAGCATGAAAATAACCAAATAAATGCATGAAGATGTTCAAGGGTGAAGCTGCAAAAATAAGTTTAAGGAGCTCAGATGTTTAGAGTGCTTTTTGACATTAAGCCTGAGCGCTGTGTCAATAGAGAAGCTTATTTCGGTCAGGGAACAAAACTGACTGTTATTGGTAAGTAAAACTTTTCTCTCACATCAATTCAACACAGAAATAATTAAAACATGTTAAAGGGCAGCTGTTGCTTCAGATTTTTTTTTCTTAATAGTAGCTTAAATGCTTAAAGAAGCAAAGTGAAAGAAGCATCGTGATGTTTTGAGCACAGATTAAGTTCACTGTGCCTCTGGTGGTTATGAAGCTTTCTTCGGTGGAGGAACAAAATTAACTGTTTTAGGTAAGAAAGAAAAATTATACGTAAAGTTTGTAATAAGATTTGGGCCAGAGGAATAACTAATATAAAAAACTTTCTTACATGAGCAGCTTGGTAACAAACTTACTGTACTTGGACTCGTTATAGTCTGAGCTCAGTGCTTTTTGTTCAGAAGCTTAAACACTGTGCCAATTATGAAGCTTATTTCGGCCAGGGAACAAAACTGACTGTTCTTGGTAAGTGAAAAATCAAATTTTATTCTCATAAACATAGTCAAACTAGTTAAAGCTGACAAAAGTGTTTCAGTAAGGTGTTTGGCATTTAAACCTGTAAAAACAACAACAACAATAAAACACGAGTGCAGCACATTTAGACATTTTACTTTAAAGAAAAGTAAAAGGAAACTTCATTATTTTATGAAGAGACCAAAAAATGAAGATGCAAAGTAGAAACAGCATGTTGGGCTGTTTTGAGCACTAATTAACTTCACTGTGACTCTGGTGGTGCTTCAGTGGCTTACTTTGGTGGAGGAACAAAATTAACTGTTTTAGGTAAGAAATAAAAACTATATATGAGTATATGTATGTCTGCAGTAAGGTCTTGGTGACATTAATCCAAATAGATGTTAAAATTCCCAACTGGAGTCATTATTGAACAAACTGTATTTGAGGTCTCTGTAGTCTCAGCTCTGGGCTTTTTGCTCTGAGGTTTAAATGCTGTGTCAGAACGAAGCTTATTTCGGCCAGGGAACAAAACTAACTGTTCTTGGTAAGTGAAAAATCAAATTTTATTCTCATAAACCTGTCAAAGTAAAAGCAGTTAAAGCTGAAAAAAGTGTTACAGTAAGGTGTTGGCATTTAAACCTGTAAAAATATATGTAGACTTTTACTTTGAAGAAAAGTAAAAGGAAACTTCATTAGTTTTATGAAGAAGATTAAATGAAATGAAGATACAAAGTAGAAACAGCATGTTGGCTGTTTGAGCACTAATTAACTTCACTGTGACTCTGGTGGTGCTTCAGTGGCTTACTTTGGTGGAGGAACAAAATTAACTGTTTTAGGTAAGAAATAAAAACTATACATGAGTATATGTATGTCTGCAGTAAGGTCTTGGATACATGAATCCAACATGTATTTAGTTATCCCTGGAGTGGAGTCTTTTTGAACAAGCTTATATGTTGAGGTCTCTGTAGTCTCAGCTCAGGGCTTTTTGCTCTGAGGTTTAAATGCTGTGTCAGTATGAAGCTTATTTCGGGCAGGGAACAAAACTAACTGTTCTTGGTAAGTGACGAATCAAAATTTATTCTTATAAATGTTACAAAATAAAACCAATTAAAGAATAAGTGTTGCCTGAAAAAACAAACATTTTGTTTCGTATTAAATTTGTAAAAACTTAAAAGAGCAGTGCAGCATATGTGGGATTTTTAACTTAAAGAAAAGTAACATTTAGTTTATTAAAAGCAAGCAAAGAATTAAGGAGCAAAGCAGAAGCAGCATGTGTTGAGCTGTTTTGAGCAGTGATCAGGTGCACTGTGACTCTGGTACTTCAGAGGCTCACTTTGGTGGAGGAACAAAATTAACTGTTTTAGGTAAGAAAACATTTTAAAGTTCACTAAATAAAGTTGAGGACTGATTTTTTTAAGCTGCCTCTAAAACTTTAAAATCACACCAAAAACTCATGTAGCTAAAGTCAAAGTCTTTACATGTAAAAAAGTGACAGTTGGAATAATTTCCATGTGGCACAGTTAAAGAGGGGCACTAGAAAGGGTTTTTGTCACAGTACAAAGTCTCTGTGATCCTACAACGAGGCTTACTTTGGAGCTGGAACTAAACTCACTGTTTTAGGTAAGAAAACTTCCAACAAAAATCAGCTGGGCTTTACTCTCATGGTGTTTATGTGTTGGTTGAGTGACAACATTTAGTATATGTTTCATTTATTTATTTACCTTTATGTTATGGTAGTGAAAAAAGTGGGCAATCGTTAAAGTTTAAAAGTAATTTATGTAGAAGTTTTCTTGTGCCAGGAGAAAAAAGTGTTATCTGTGTTCTCCAGTAAAAGTACTGTGCCTATGAAACATTTGGCTCTGCGCCCAGAATATTGTTCTCACACTCAGTTCTTATCAGCTCTGTGAAATACTGTGAGTTTCCAGTCAGAAGCTTATTTTGGAGCTGGAACTAAACTCACTGTTTTAGGTAAGAGTGCAAAGATGGATTAACATTAAAGTAATAATTTCTGATGAAATATTCATTGGGATCCTTCTGTAAATTAGTTGGTTTTAATGTCTGTTATTTTAGATTTGTGCATTTCCAAAATTAATTCTCTTACATGGTCAAAATTTGCTTAATAATGCTACAAGCCTCAGGTCTTTTCTATATGTTTGGGTGTAAAGGTTGTTTAGCACTGAAAAAGAGAACAAAGACAGACAGCAGCTTTCTAGAGCAGTTTTTTCTACAGCAGTTTATCAGTGTGAACAACTACGACCCTGCTTACTTTGGCAGTGGCACCAAACTCACAGTACTGGGTAAGAATAGTGCATAAATACTTGTTTTTAGAGATGTAAAGATGTCGTCATCCATGCTGTAAACCCTTAAATTGCATTTTAATGAGTAAATGTCACAGAATGTGTCAGAAAATCTGTGATATTTGAAAAGTCTGGGAGAATATTTGTGTTATGTAACAGCTGGCAGAAAAGTGCAGTTTTGTTTTATCAAAAAGTGATTTGAAATGCACATAGCAGTAATCGTTTTGTGTATGAACTAACAAATGCTTGAGGTGAATCCAAGTGTTCTAAGTCTTGTGAGTTTTTGTGGCTGTGACTTGGCATTGTGCTCTGGCACTTATCCTCCTTATTTTGGAGAGGGAACCAAGCTAACAGTTCTGGGTAAGATCACCACAATAATTTTGTAATAAAGAAAATGCAAGTTTTGTAATCTAAGTTCATCCTTTGTGTTAATATGTGTGGGAAAAAAAGTTCTCCTGCATGTTTTTGTGCGTTAATGTTTATGTTTGCCTGGCATGTGCATGACACTTGGGTGCCCTAACATTTGTTGTAGATCTAAAGGCAGTTTTAGTCATATGTGTTAATATGATTTTTCTTTGTCCTTTGTCCTTGCAGAAGAAAACAGTAAAATCACTCCACCACAAGAAGTAAAAATACTGAGACCTTCAAAACATGAGTGCAGAAACAGCAAAGACAAAAAAAGGAAGAAGACCCTCGTCTGTGTGGCCTCTGGTTTCTACCCTGACCATGTCAAAGTGGATTGGTATTTGAATGAGAAAACAGTTACTGATGGTGTGGCAACAGATGAAGCTGCACGTGAAGAAAAAAATGACAAAGACGAGCTCGTGTATAAAATCACCAGCAGGCTGAGAGTCTATGCCAAACAATGGGAAAATCCTGACAATGTCTTTAAATGCACTGTCAAATTCTTCAATGGCACTGTATATACAGATTATTCAGATTTTATTGACGGAGTTACGGGTAAATTCTTGTGGAACTTAATCGTCTTGCTCTTATATGCACATATTATATGCAAATCTTTTAATATTTCAGTCATCTGTTGTGAACTAATAATTTCTTCTTTTTCAAACAGCTGAGAAAAAGTCTGTGTCAAGAGGTAAATATTGCAGATTATTCCTTCAGTGAATCAGTTCTAGCATGATTATCATCACTTAGAAAATATAGAAGCTGTGTTGTTTCACTGAATATTTCTTCTTTACTCCTTTACAGAGAAGTATTTGACAGTTACACAAAATTTCAAGGTCATCTACAGCGTGCTTACTGTCAAGAGCTGTGCCTATGGAGCTTTCGTTGGATTTTTGGTGTGGAAGCTTCAGGTTTGTCCAAATCTTGTCCAAAAAAACTGTCTCTCTCTATAATAATAACAGTAACACAAATAACTTATTACTCTCTGCGTTCTTTCCATGTTTTGCAGCGTTTTGGTGGAAAGCAGAAGTACTGAGAGCTGAGCTGAAGCCTCAAAAAATAACTCTGGGACATGAGTTACCTTGCTCTCTGTAAATATCGTTCACAAACAGTCTATTGTTAAAGTGCACACTGTTAATCGCCTGTTCAAGTTCTGCTGTGGATTTTTATGTGCTTATTTGTCTTTATATAATTAATAACTGCCTTTCAAATAGACTGATGTCAATTTTCTTTAGACACAAAGAGATTTCTGTTTGTAACTTCATTTTCTTCTTAATAAAAGTACGTTAGATTATTTTAAAGCTGTGTTGTTCTTGTGTAGTTTGCCCTGGAAATACTTTTTAAAGCTGTGAATCAGTCTTCATATCATAATATCAAACACTATTACTTAATTTGAAAAAGATAGGATGAGACAGGTGAATAATAATGTGTCATTTGATCAAACTTGTGAAGAATATCATCGCCTTTCTCTGGTTTTACATCTCAAGTTTTTCCAGAGATACTGTAAAATGTATTTTTCATCAACTAGCCTGTTTTCTGAGAAGTCGTCTATTTTCTCCCCCATAATCTTGAAACATCTCACCTCAGGAGAACTTCTTAAGATGGTTAATTTTACTCATAGCAGGATTTTCCATTCAGAAAACCGATGACTAAAAAGTGTCTGTTAAAATTTACTAGTAAATTTAAATTTCATCCAGTAATTTTCTTTACTTTTCTTGGAAATCAATTCACTTTTTGAGTCACCTTTTCCACAAACACAAACAGTGTGTGACAACATGCATTCCTTTCTTAAACAAAGAATATCTTTCTTTAGTTCAAACACGCTCTGTAGCAAAATAAGAACACGAGTCTAACCCATAACAGGAAATCAGCATTTCATCTGTGTACTGAAGAAGGTCAAAGCTGCTGTGGGTGAGAAAGATAAACCAGGGCATGAAACCCTGCAGAGGAGAGTGCAACAGCAGAGGAGAGGATGTGGTCACAGAGCAGCCTGCAGCTCGCTCTCTGTGCTGAGAAACGGCGGAGGTGCAACCTTCACTTTACCACAACCTCCGGCTCGCTGTGTGCACCTGCAACTTTGCACCGACCCCCCGCTCTGCACATCTATGAGCAAACAGATGGAAACTTCCATTTCTGTGTCAACTGAAGTTACGCATTGTACAAAAACAACGTCATACATTATGCAAAAGCTGTTTGCAGTGATCTGGCACAACATTTTGCACCAGATAAAATCAGACTTTGGGGAAGCCACAGAACTTCAGGCAAATATCAGCAGCTCATTTAAAAACATAACTGACAGTGTTTAAATGTACACATGTGTATATAACTATAAGATAAAGGTTTGTGTGGGACTGCATTCAAAAGATAATCTGGCCTTTTTACAGGACTCAGTTCAAACCGTCACATTCTGCTTTCCCTGGTTGCTTCCTTGAAAAACATGTTTTCTTGTCCTGAAGTCAAATAAACAGGAAGCGTAGTCTTTGAAGCAGCAACAGAAATGTGGCACATCTGCCATCTGTTAGGAAAATAATTTTAGCTTCCCCTGAATGTGATCCTTAAATGAATGTATAAGCTGCTAATTTAAACCTCACACGTGTGGAGCTCATAAAGAAAACAGCCAGTGTTTGGGTTTTTCGTCTTAAAAACACAATCACAGCTGACGGGTACAGCCATGACAAAAAGAAATTACATCCCCTGCCAATTCTAAGGTTTTACATGTCAGCGAATAAAAATAATAATAAAAATAGCCAGTGTATACCAGGTCTTATAAGCTGGTAACAAAACATAAATTATTACACCAAATTTAAGCCAAAATGCATAACTGTAGATGAATTTTTAAGCTCACTTTTCTTTACAGTATTGCTTCAATTCATTGAGCTTCTCAGTCATTTGTTATGTACAGCTCTCTTAAGGCACAACATTTCACTCAGGTTGAAGTCTGGACTTTATCCAGGCCACTCCATCACCACTTATTCTCTTTTTCAGTCTTTCTGCTGTCGATTTGCTGCTGTGCTTGAGATTATTGTTCTTTTATATTATCCATTTTCAACCAAGCTTTAGCTGTTAGACAGATGGCCTCACATTTGACTTCAGAATACTTTGGTATACGGAGCAGTCCACGGTCAACTTAATGACTGTAAGGTACTCACGTGTTGTGGCTGCAAAACCCAAATTCTCTCCCCTCCACCACCGTATCTGACAGTTGATATGAGGCCTTTATGTTGATATACTGTGTTTGGCTTTAATCATATGTGATTGTCAATGGAAAAATTGTACTTAGTAGTCAGTATAGTCTTTTAATGATATAAGTTTGCATATGGTAGAATACTGCATGTAATCATTTGTGTTTAGAAGTATATAGTTGGTGGCATATTGAAAGAATGTCTCATCCTAGGAGGTCTGTAACATTCCAGGGTGTTCTGGCATTCACCCCCACATCCTGGGAGCATGGGAGAGGTCGTACCTTGTTTTATTGTTTTACGGTAGGATTAACGTAGCTATGTCAGTTTTAGTCTAAGTGCTTTTTTACATATAGATGAACTGTTGGACCAGCAGGTTAAGGGAAGTAGTTTATGGGGACACACACACACACACACCCCCCTCCACATTCCAATGTAAGGAACAAACGCTCACTGAAGTGTAAATAAAGACCGGGGCAGTTTCTCAGCGCGAGTCTCAGTTCTGGAGGCTGCCCTTGCTAGCAAGAAATTCTGCGTGTTTCTCTTCTCTGATTTTCTACTGAAGAAGTGTTTTAGAGTACATCTCTTAACAGTGATCCTGCGCATTCCAGTGCTGTGCAGTTGGTTCAAGTTGAACGTTGCAAACCTAAGCCATGCTGCCATGTTGTTTTTAGAGAGAAGAGGCTTTCTCCTAGTAGCTCTTCAAAATATGGTATACTTATTCTGTCTTACTCTCATTAAACTGTCATGAACTTTACATTTAACCTGCTAACTGAGGCCTGTAGAGTCTGAAATGAAGCTCTTTTTTTCCCCAGTTTCTCTGTGTAATACAGAATGATCTTGGAGTCAAGTTGCTGGGACTTCCACTGCTGGGAAGATTGGCAAATGTTTTGTCTCGTCACTGTAGCAAGATGGATTTCAGATTGTCTGTAAAGTACCTCATACATTTTCCCAAATTGAAGGGCAGCAACAGTTGCTTGTCTCAGATCAGCACCAGAACACTCCAGACCAGCAAGCTTCCTAAATGTCTGCATTTATAAAGAAGCTCACACTTGCAATTGATCAGTTCACAAATGACCTCTTCATGTTTGCTCACTTTTTGTTAAATAATAACATGACATAACCTGATGTTTGTCTGAGGTTGTGTTTCCATAATCTTAGGGAAAGGGCCAGATTATTTTTTATGACATCCTAATGTGCAAAGCCTTGGACCTGAACTGTAAATATAAAGATTATTAAACAATGAGTATTATTTTACTTAATGGCTACATTAAGTAAAATATTGCACTATACCATTTATTGTCTGTCTGCCATACTATAGCTCACAACTGTACTAAAAAAATATTAAAGATATAAGGAGAACGCTCCACAAATATACACCACGGCCAGGAGATTAAATACTGACAGTTAGCTAAAGATTGTTTTGTTTGTAGAGCCAGCAAATCCATCTTAAAGCTAGAATGTAAGTGGTTAAATTATGTTTATGAAAACAACACAAGAGCAAAAAAAGCTGATTGCTGAGAGATGTTACAAATGTTTATTCTTACTGTTAGACATTGCTTGACTTGACGGTTGGAATAGATACTGCAATATGCAGTGGAAAAACATCTCTAATAAATTTAGAGATGTCACTGAATTATTTTCCAGTGAAGGTTCAGTTATGTTCATATTCAGTTTCCATCAAGTGAATGAGAAACTGTGGTTCTCATCTTGGGCGACACCTTGTGGTAGAAACTGGAACAATTCAGCACACGTGTATAACGTACAGTCATTGAAGTCAACCAAAGTTTTTATCAAAATATGACCTTTATTGTCAAATAATTACATAGAAATAAAAAAATAGTGGAAAAGTCTTGCAGAGTTTCATTATATGATACAGAAGCAGCAATGAGTGCAGCCTTGTATCAGTGATTTACTGGCATGAAAAAAGTCATTTCAGCTTTTTTAATAACATATATAAGAGTTATTATCATCACGATTCTCAAAAAACAGAGAATATATAGATCAAGTGAGAGCATAACTCATTTTAAAAGGTGTGGCAGAGTAAGAACGAGTTCATCGTCTCATCACATTCAGACTTTACAGGTTTACGTTATATTTTAAGGCCCATCTTTTATCGTTCCATAAGATTCCCTGAACACCACTTACTTTGTAGCTTTAACTACTGTGCATCTACAGTGATCCGTCCCTTTTTTAAGATTGCAATATTCAAAGACGTTTCTGTACAATCTGCTCAGGGTTTTTTGAGTCCTTTTGGCAAATGCAGCAGCTCGTAGTCGACAGCTCGAGTTTTTTAGAATCTAAATGGGAATTCAGATCCCACCCCAGTGTCCACCACCACACATCACATAGTTTTTACACCCTCTGTGGCTTTAACCTGGTCGACCAAACCTGTCGTTTCTTCTGCGAATGCCTGGTGCAGCTGGCACAGCAGAAACTGGAGTAGTATGAGTTGGAGCAAAGTCGGGCGTAAACTATCAGCTCACAGTTGGCAAGCTCAGGCTGGTCCAAACATTCTGGCGGGAGGTCAGCGCCTGCAACGGCACAGTAGATAGGGTTTAAAAAAAAAAAAAAGAAAAAAAAGAAAAAAAAATTAAAAAACCCACAACATTAAAATTTAAAGCCTGAGCCATGAAATATTTGCCAGAAAATTCAATTTCTTTTTTAAATGGAGTGCTTATGATGAAATACAAGTTTATTAAATATTAATTTGCATATATCAAATTAATTTAAATCATTTTAATCTGTTAAAATGTAGATAATATTCAGTCATTTTTCTGCAATTGATTTCTTAAAAATGTACCGTGCAGTTTATGTTGTTTTTTTCAGGAGGAAAACTCACACTGGTGATTTAGAAATCTAAAGAACTCAAAGTCACTCACATATAAAATATGATACACTTGACTTTAAAGGGTTAAAGCAAAATCATTGTTTAAACTCAAGCTAAAAATAAATAAATAAATAAATAAATAAATACATGATGACATCGTGGCGAATAAATAAGTCAGTTCCAAGTTCAGTTTTTCTACTTTCCCTCTGCAGTGCAGATAAAAGGTCTGAGCTGATTTAGCGTTCTCACCTTGCTGTGTTTCTTTAATAACCTTTACTTCAGCTGTGGCGCTCACAGAGTAAATGCCGGTGTAAGCGTTGCAGGTGTACGTGCCCTGATCAGAAGGCTTGACATTATTAAGGATCAGGCTGCCGTCAGAAGACAAGAGGATGTTGCGCCCATCTGGACGCACCGGTACACCATTTCTGTATTTAAAGAGAGCAACAGGAAAGGTTTAGGTACATTATTTAAATGCATTCAATAGGCACTTAAATTAAAAATCAGTTCACTCTTTTTAACGCGTATATTAATGCATGCATGCTCTGTAACTGCAAGTAACAGAAATACAACTCATGGCTTTATTTCTGGATTTTAGGGCCATGAAATAAATAAGTAAGTAATAGTAATAAGTAATAATAAGTAAATAATGTCAGTGTTGATGACAACAAGAACTGGATTTATATATTTTTTTGTAGACAAATATCACCTTATTTAACATTTAAGTCGTTAAAGTTATAGGGTGTATTTTTGGGTCATTTTTACTTTTATTGGGGATTCTTTTTGAATGCTATATAACCTAAAAATCAGACAGTTTAACAGATGTTTCATGCATCTCTTCCACTTATTCTTAATGATGTCTAATAAAGTAATAACAATGTCATTTTTCACCTTGACCAGCCTATATTGACGTTGTCTCCTGACACCACACAGGGAAGCATGCCCGTGCTGCCTTCTGACACTTGGATGTTATTGGGAGCTGTTGTGATTTTCAGATCAGCTGGACAAAGAAACCAAGAGAAAAGATCATTAATGTCACTTTTTTCTTACAATAAGTTTTTACCGTTTAATCCTGGGTCTTGCCCTATGGGTAAAGTTTTTTGTTTTGTTTTTTTATAAAAAAGGCAATAACAAAAACACCCCAAAATAAAATTGGTCAACAGTTACTTAAATTAAACAGAAAAAACTGCTTAGCTTTATCTTATTACACCCAATGCATATTGTAAACTGAAAGACCCCAAAAAAAAAAAAAAAAAAAAAAAATTGGGCAAAATATTAACAATAATGTTTCATAAGCAATAATAATCACACTCCAGTTTTATATTTGTTTACTATCTGATGTATAATTGTTGTTTTTAAATAAACTACACAGCCTTACTTCCTCATAACACTTATTCCACATGTTTATTGGTCTGACAGAGAAATAGATTTATTTATCATGTGATCAACTCAGCTGTAAAATCTTAGGAATGTAAATTCAGAAATAATATGTTCATGGTCTGGATCATATGAACTGGATTAGTGTTTATTTGGTGTTCCCATACAGTCAGTAATGCATTAAAATGAAAGGAAACAATCTGTTTACAGTACGTGTTAGATTTAAAATATCTTTGGTTTTATATAATAAAATAATAATAATTTAGTTTTTACTATATTTCTATGAGATTTCTACTACAGTTCATGTCTATTAACACACACTCATACACTATTTCAGCGCTGTTCATTGTATTTGAACAGTGCAAGCAGAGAGAGAATCAGGCAGTCAGTGACATTTACTGATCTCTGCTGGTGATTATCTGAAACTGCAGCATCAGGTTTCAGTCTTACAATCATAATTTCCCTTCTAAGTTTGATAAGCTATCTATCTATTGCACACAAGCATCCAAACAGTACATGTTTAAAAAAAAATGATGAGGCTATGAATAAAACTCACGCTGGACTCTGAGCTGCAGCTGTCGCTGCTCCAGCTGCTGCTGGTTGGAGGCTGTACATGTGTAGACACCGGAGTCATCAGACTTCAGAGGGCCGATGATGAGGGTGCCATCTGAATGCTGAGTAAACCTGCAGCACAGCCATCAGACAGGACCTCAGTTTACACCGACTTCTTCGTAAATTACTCATCTTTATGGTTTAAAATGATAAAGTACTGAGACCCTAACAGGCAAACCAGGGCAATTTATACCAAGCCGGCTTTAACAGTGTCTGCATCTCTTGGATAATAAAACAATCTCACATGGATAAAGACAGATCAGGTTATTTTCTTTAGACTCCAAAGTTCAGCTTGAATCAGATTTATATATAAAGTGGACTAAATAACTGAGCTATGCTAACTGACATCACAGCGGTAATAGATCTCAAAAATAAAAATACTAATAGTAAGAACCATGGATAAAAATCAAAGAACTTTCACTGCTAGCAATGTTTTTAATAAAGGGTTCATAACTTTCTGAATGTCTTCAATTATTACCTGGGATCACTGATTAGCTGTCCATCTTTAGTCCACCCAATGCTGACAGACTGCCGAGCTGAGGAGGGGACAACAGTGCAGGGCAGTCTGGTAGTTTGTCCTGCTCGCATTTCCACCTGGGCTGAGCTTGAGCGCTCAATACTGAACCTGACAGAAATTACAGGGAAGCAAAGACAATGTGAAGTGATTCATTTATACTGTTAGAAATAAATCAGAATACTGAGGTTTCCATGTGCCTGAGCTCTTAATATCTCCAGAAACCGTAAATAACCATCTTCAGGTGCACAGATCCACAGATATTCTTCTCACCTTGCAAATGGACCGTCTCTGGGAAGCGAGGTAGAAGATGGTCCCTCTGTGGCCGAATACACAAACACAAGCACATATGAATGCTCGCAAACAATTCAACACACAGAGTGAGCACTTGCACAATGTCATTGCATAAACACCAAGTGACTTTGCAAGATCAGCATGTTCTGACACAACCTATGACATCAGAGCTTTACCCCAAACTTTCTACATGTTCATGTGACAGACTAATTGGGGTCAAAGTCGGTCAAATTAGCAGTTTGACCGAATCCAGCCGATTGTATATCAGGGTGTGAGAACGTCATTCCATGAAAAAAAAATCAGCCTCCCAACTGACCCCTTTACAATCAGGCGCAAATTTTTACAACTTTTCTCTTTTTATTGAAGCAAAATGTTACATTCACACAGACTCTATAGTATATATAGGATGTAATTTCACACAGATTCTCAATTGAGACCATCTGAGACCCCTCTATAGGAATTTTGAAACATTTCTTCAGGTAGATTTTACTTTTCCCAGGCTTGAATTGATCGATTAAAAGATCTTTATCACTCTGAGCCTCTTCCAAAATATGCCATTTCCCCTTTGTCAGCAAAAGTCACTCTGTTGACATCAACTATAAGAATATGTAATTCAGATCATGTCCCATATATCAGTTTGTTTGGACTGTCATAGTAATGTTTTCCAAATTCTTCCACTACTTTGTATCTTAACTTAAGATATAATTATCTGCAAGTGAACCTACCAGTCTTGTTTTGACCATAGAGGTTGTGGCTGAAATGTAATTACCTGAGACAGCCAGGTAAATGTAGCGGTGGTCTCTCTCTCGTTCTCGAGTGGCCACACACAGGAACCAGCCAGAGTCCAGCTTAGAGACAGGACCTACTAACAGAGAGCCATTGGGCTGTTGGTGATGCCTAAATGTAATTAAAAATATAGATATAAATAAAAATAGCAACAGGAAAAACAACTTTAATGTAAATTAAGTCACCGAGTACGTTTCTCTACATACCTGTGAGTTGATAGAGGTATACCATCCCTCCTCCACTCCACGACAACGGTGGAGGAAGGTGGAGGGCTGACTCGGCAGGGCAGCACAACTGTTTGGCCAACTAAAGCCTCGACTGTGGATGGGTCGGTCTTATCAATCGTTACTCCCCCCAGAGTCAAGCTGAAGAATAGGGAGTGATAAAAGGAAAGGAAACAGAAGGAAAACAAAGGAGAAGAGAACAGGAAAAAGGAAATGTGAAAGGAAAAAGGACAAAGGAAGAGACATTTGGAAGAGAAAAAAAAAAAAGTCACTTTATGCTCCACTGTTGGTACTTTTATCAGCAGCTACCAAAGCAAGCATAAAGAGCGCCCACAACCTGGCTTTAGGAGTTTGTCAGATAAAGCTCAGAGAAGAGAAATCCACATGCAGCCCAAAAAGTGACGAGACAAAAAGTGCAAAAAAACCCAAATACAAAATACTACGAACATACAAAAGAGACAAGGACACCTTTCATGTAAAATACCCAAACACCACTAAAGAAATCTAAAACCATCTAAACAAGAAAGAGAGATTTAGGGACCACACACATAGGATGACTGAATTATCACAGCAGAATTTTTATTAGTTTGATTTCATGACATTTAGGTGAAGACACCAAAGCACAGACGTGATGGTGGTTACTGACACAGAGAGGTAGCATGCACAAATAAGCACCAACAATAATGACTGACAGAGAGCAGTGAGTCCCAGAAGCATTAAACAGCGTTGATGTCCATATAAGGTGTGTGAGGTCTGGTGACTTCTTCTTGATTTGGTTGAGGTTAAAGGAAGAAATGAGGTGTTGCGACATAAGCAGGTGTGAGAGTGAAGGTCTGTGGAGCTGGAAAGAGCTGTGGCTTCATTTTAAAGCAAGAGTTTAGATTATATGAGCATCGAAAGAGTCTACAAAGACGGCATGTTACACAGAAGCACAGTACATTAAGTATTTTGTTGAACAAAATCCAGGAAAAATGCGAAAGGTTGTTGAAACTCAACACCAGGCTGGAAAGCACACAGCCTGATTTACTTGTGGGTGAGGTTGGGTGTGGTCAGAGGTGTGCTTTGTTACACCAGATGTTACAGGAAAATGACACACCCTCCATCTGCTGTGTCAGAAAGAGAGCTTAACCACATGGAGGGTAAGACCAAGTAAGCTATGTTCTCTGTTTTGTTCCCTGATAGACTTTACTAAAGAAAGTTTTAAAAAAATTTGGATTGCATAAAATATAATTTGCTTATATATGATTTTTGGTTGCTTCAGCTCCACCGTCATATTTCCAGGATGGGTGAATGAGGCACATGATTTGTCTTTTGATTGCGTTTCCATCTCCTATAGCCCACTCTTTGGCCCTGCAGGGTAGAGTGAACTGGGGCTCCTTCAACATGAATTAGAAGGCTCTGAACAGCATTACGAGGCCAGTAGTGGGGTTGGATCGGGTAGGGTTAGCTTTTCACTGCTCTCCCTGGGTCTTTGGGGTCTTACCTCGCAGCTGGGCCGGTGTGCTGTGCAGCTGTGCCATGTGAAGGCCGGCGTACCCGCAGGTAGACTCTACCTCTGTGGGCATTAGTGGCTGCGCTTGTAGCCTGTCTGCTGGTCGAGCCACGCTGGACTATGAAAATCCTCCCCATGTTGCGTGACCGCCCATCCGTTGTAGATCCTCTTCCAGCTGAGGTCTCTGCTCCAGTCGTGCTGTGTTCTCCAGCTGCGGTTCTTGTAGACTCTCCAGAGGGAGCTGCAGGCTGCGGGGCCTGCCAGCTGGGTGCAGGTCGTGGACATGTCCGTTTGCACTCTGCTAGGGTCATGAAGTTATTGCTGTTGCCGTGGCATCCTCCATACCAGAAGTGCACACATTTAGAGGAGATGACATCGAAATGGTACCGGGACACCCAACTGCTGCAGGAGCCAGCAGCACGGGGCAGGGAGCAGATTGATCGCTCAACTGCACAAAGACAACACAATGCAGATCAGCTGTTTGTCATTGTCAAGCATTTTCTCAAACAGGGCTGTCTTGCATAGATGTATTGTGCAAATACAGAGGAAAAACAATATTATAGTATTTTTATCAAGTATAATTTGAATGTTTGTGTTCAGTATTACTACTAAAATGTTACAGTTTACTGCAGTCACATATTTGTTTATAGTCAGTTTTCTTACTACAGCACTATGGGGCCTGAGGAGTAAACATGAAAAACAACTCCCATGTTTTGTACTCAGTAAGTGTCCTCTGCTGCATACCATTTTTTGTTTCTCTGTCTGATTATTTCTTCTCATATTATGACTGCCAATTGCTACAACACCATCATGGCCATGATATCAATCATCCCCATGAGATGCAGGTGATGTAGATCAACTGGATAAAAGCGACTGTTAGAGTGACCTCTAAATTGGAGCATCTCAGTAACCAACAGCACAAAATTATATCTTAACTGGAAATAATATAAAAATAAAAAAAAAAGATTTCTCTTCATTGAGTTTAGAAAACTTACTATAATTAGGAGGATTGGGGCAGCCCTCCCCATTGGGTCCTCCTGCAGGTGTGGTGCGGTCATAGCAGCAGCCATAGGTGGTGGTGCGGCATTCTACTGCATTCTCAGTAGGGAGAGAAGGTGTAACCTGAAAAGGCATAACACATGAAATAAGGCAATATTTTCTCATTCTTTAAAGAATTTGACTGACATTTGACCAATTCATTCATTCAGACTTTTGTGTGCTTTTGCTTACAGTTGGTGCAGGGTTCACATACGCCGCACAGCCTTCCTTATTGGGGCCCTGAGCAGCCGTCACACCATCTTCACAGCAGCCATGACTGACACACAGAACAGGAAGAGAGCAAGAACAGTTGGTCTTAAAAGTTTGAGCTTCTGGTCATGTATAATGCCACATAGTCCCTGGTTAGTAACCAAGTCAGCGACCTTAAAAAAAAAAAAAAAAAAAAAAAAAAAAAGGGGTTCTGCATATGACCTCAACTGCAGTGCAATAACAGAGTGCAGGTGGATACCTGGTCTGAATGCAGGATGTTGGGACAGGAGAGGGAGCTGGAGCTGATGGGCAACCCAGCCCCTGAGGGCCTCTGGCTGAAGTATGCCCATCTGAGCACCAGCCATAATAAGACTGGCTGCAGTGGAGAGCCGGGGCGGAGCTGTGAGGGTCGTAGACTGTATTCGTCTGGGTTGGATCTCTTGTCTCAGGCCTGCGGGCTACAGGCAAAGCCAAGTGAGTGGTGAATTCACGCATTGTACATGCAAAACAGACCCCATAGTTCACCATGGTTCACAAGACAACACCATACAAGCAATAGGGACGTTCACACATCGGTTGAATAAACAATAGAGTCTGTCATTGTGTTTGAGACCACACAGTGAGTCTGTACAGGATGCTGAAGAAAAACAAAAAAAGTCCATACTCCTTTTGTTTATGGGCTAACAAAGCAGAGGAAATTATAAAAGAAATGATGATCAGCAATCTGACGTAACAATCTGAAGGAAAATAAACACAAATAATTTCACAAAGAAAACTGCCTTTTTTGGAATGAAGCAAATAAAATTTCAAGTAGTGGCGTCAAACTTAAAATTCCTGACCACTGGGATAGCACATGATGCTGAACATGCCAGAAACGCCACTGCCAGCACTAGCACACTTCAGTGCTTCAGAAATATTTTAATCAGGCCAACAATGACCATGGAACCATAAAAACATGTCAATCAGGCCCAGATAATTAGTGCTGGGACAGGCTGAATGGGGATGAAGGGGGGTGGAGGGGTTGCTGGGGACAAAGTGACAGAAGTTATATCAGCAGAGAAGAGGGGATGCTGAGCAACAGCAGGGCAATCACACCTACAATTAACTTTTAATGCTCCAACCATAATAAGAATATTGTATGTTTTGGTAGTTTTAATTGTTAATAACTGGCTGACAAGATGCTACCTTGGTGATGTCACATTGAGCTTTTTCAGTGGTTTTTTGTTTACTTTCTGAGTAACTACGTAGCTAAAAATGCTTACGTACTAGCTTATTTTCAATGCTGATGTGATTATGAGATGCCTTTGAGAGGTAGAGTCTAACCTGTTGCGTGATCTGGCACATAAGGCTGGAAGCCAATCTGAGTGCTGTCATGTCCCCGTGGGTCCTGAATGCTGGGGACGACTGCACAAAGTGTGGATAAAACAAACGCAGAACAGTGTAAGCATGCAACTTAACTGAAGACTGGCAGCAGTCACAAAATGTTAAATTTAATTTTGCACATTGTATTTTTAGATTGCAGTCTATTAAGTAAATGGAAATTTAACAACTTAACTTGAGAAATAAAATAAAAACAGGTGCATTGTTTATTTGCTTAGTTAGCATTTGCTCACCCTGTGGGCTGTAACAGGGCTGGGTGTTGCAGCGCTCCACTGTGAGTGGTTTGGGCTGGGTGTTACACTGGTCCACAGGGTACAGGTTCCTCTCCTGATCAGAGCAGATCACCTGGCGCTCTCGTGAGCCAGATCCACAACTCTTAGAGCACTGCAGGAAAATGGAGAGAGTTTTTCACCCATACAGCTGCTATAACTACATTTATGAGTCCTTGTTTGGTTGCATGTGTGCATCAGGTTTACCAGTCCCCAATCTCCTACGTGCCAGCTGATCTGTTGGGGGCAGGGGGCCATCTCACATCGTTGGACAGCGGCCGGGCGTAGCAAAGCACTGCAAGATGTTTCATCCAGCCTCGTACCATCTGAACCCATACAGGTCACTTCTCTGGTCTGCTGACCTGAACCACAGGTCACTGAGCACTGCAAACACAAGGATTATATATCAAGTGCATCGATTACACTTTTTTATAAAGACCCAAGAAAGATGAAAATTTTTAAATATAACCCAACCTTACATGTTTGTGTGGCATTTTAACCTTATAGTCAAATGTGCTTATCATGTAATTTTACAATTTAGGACTTTCGATCTGATCTGAGGTTTCTTCCTGTGAAGAGGGAGTATTTGCTTCCCACCATCGCCAAGGTTTGCTCATAGAGGGCTGTTTCCAGAATACTATGGCATCTTACAGTAGAGAGTGCTTTGAGGTCTGTGTTTTGGTGATTTGGTGCTATATTAAAAAACTGAAGTGAACTGAGTTGAGGTAAGCCACTTTTTTCTAGAAACAAATTACTCTAACAGAGTGTAGATTAGATACCAGTGTTTATTATAGCTCAGTAAAGCAAAAAACAGCTTCTCTGCCTTGTAGTTAGTTGGATTAACATATTATTTATGGATAAATGTTTAGGCTGGTTTAGGGACTGCAATTAATACCATCTTCACTCTCACAATATATTACATTTGTTCCCAGAGTCAGAGGCCAGAGGCTTTTAAGTATGCAGCCTATTTTTTTCCAAAGTAATCGACACAATAGCCAGAAACTGTCAGAAATTCTCTTGATAAATGTGAATGCTCTTAAAGTTCTACTTTCTTGATACCTTTTCCATCTCTTCTACATAACATGTAGAAGAGAGAGCCCACATTTTTACTGTGTGCTGGTTGTATTTTTTCTTTATTTAACTTATTTGTAAAGTCTTTTACCAGGATTTAAATAGAGTTCTACAGTTTGCTCACCGCACTCCATCCAGTCACATGGTACTCAGCACATTTCTGCATGTTGCAGGTCTGCAGAGGAGGAGGAGCGTCAGCGTAAGCGGCACAAATGGCATCCTCCACCACGCGGGGTCCCGAGACATCATTGGAAACACACTGCACACTGCGCACCTGAGAGCCTCCACCACAGGTAACTGAGCAGGCGTTCCACTCCCCAGTTTGCCAGCTGAGAAAACCACCAAAAGACAAGAAACAGGAGTCAGTCTCTTTGCTGCCGATATAGACACTGTACAGCTGACCATACAGCATACACAGCTTCAGCCAAGAGGAGTGATGGGAAGAGTTTCGTTCCAAAATCAGGAAAAACAAATGAGTTGAACAAATACTGTCCAGTTTGACTTCACTGCTCTTCAGAGCCGGTTTTTTACATTTTACTTTAACTATAACATAAACATTTCTTCGTCAGTACCTGACCTGGGACATAGTCTTCCATAAAATCTTTAGTAGATTATGTATATATTTTAAATGTTATTTTTGGCTGGATGCATGGATAAACTAATACGGGAAAGAAGCGTTATAATTTTCAGCAGTGAGAAATACAAAGACATTTATTTTACTTTTTTTTTTTAAAAATGAGCAGAATAACTTGACCTATGACCTACATGCTAAACCTATTTGTGTTAACATATCAGCATTTTTTTTTTTTGACTGACAAATTCAATAATTATTTCATATTTGATGCAAATCGCTGTTTGGAATGAAACCTCCGGATGCCTTTAAAAGGCTGCGCTGCTGTTTGAACAAAGCCTCTCACATGCAGCTAGAAAAACTACTAAACCCCTGGACACATACACACTGATAACAACACTTTTAGAGACGGACATCGAGACACCAGCTGATCCCAGATGAACCTCAGACAGTGTTTTTCTCACTATAATAGCTTAGAACCGGCACTAATGGGGCTGCTAGAAGCATAGGCAGAAGTGAAAGCAGCAATAAACGGCATTTAATTCCTCGCATCTCCGCAAATTAAGCATCTACTGATTCTGGCTTTAGGTGTTAACTTTAATGGATACTGAGGGTGCAGTTAGAGTCACTTGAGCTACATAAACATCTCAGGTTTCTAAGCTGCAGCAGCATGAAAGAAAAGAAAGCAGGAAATACCAGAAAGTCATAGACTAAAGCGACTATTTACTACTTAGCACTACTGCCGTGTCCCAGCCTGAAAAGTACACAATCCCCAACACCCACGGCATGATGATCTTTAACCTCTAAGCGCCTCACAACACATTGGCTACAATATTGCACAGGAACAGAGAGCTTTACAGTTTGCTGAAGAGATCAGGCAGCAGCCCAGCTCAGGAATCAGACACAGGTGCCACAGCTTAAAGGTTAAAGAAGAAGAAGAGTTGGCTCTTTGGGGGGGAAAATGCTACATCCAATCATCCATCACTCACTTTACAAAGTGCTGGATGTTGTCTAAGGTAAATGAGGGTCATTAAAAGGTTGAAAAGAGATCTCTGAGCTTGACAGTTGCCCCATGCCTTCATCCTTATCTCACATGGACAGAACAGACTTGGCACTAAAGACGGACTTGACTAGAGTCAAACACTTCTAAAGGGGGAGAGATCGCGCTTTCAATCAACATTTCTGGTCATTTTTGATATTTTCAGCCCAATTTTAGGGACAAGTAGCCAAAAATGATTCGTTGTAAAAGTGTTTGTTTGACAGAAAGTATGGAAATGATCTAAGAGAGCTAATAAAATAATCTTTTCAAGGAAATAAGTGAAAGTGTTTAATTATTTAGATCTTCCCCCGGTGTTTGCAGACACCTAAAACTCCTCTACGAGCGCTGAACATGGGTTACCTGAACACAGAGGCTCTAGGCCTCTTTGAGGATCTCAACAACTGTGGTGGATACAGGTACGCCATCCTTTCAGACAGGCATAACATACCAACAACAGTCAAAATACTGCTCTGGGAGTTATTTATGGTACTCTTTAAATTCATTCATTCAGAGTGGAGCAAAGTAAACTCTGGAAACGTCTAAAATTTAGCTTGCATTTACTGAAATAACACATTTCATTTGAGAAGTTTAAGCATTACTTACCTGCGGATTTGTGGGCATGGTTGAGGGTTGCATGTACGGTTGCTCTGTGGCCTCGGCAGAGAAGCACAGAGATAGTCAGGATAGGCCTCATTGTCGATTGAGCAGAAGACCAAACGAGACTGGTAGCCTGATAAAGGAAGGTATGGAGCTATTATACTGTCCAAAAACAAGGATGTTTAAAACATTTTAAATTAAATTATGCTGGCAACAAATAAAAGTTGCAGTCTAACCTGATCCACACTCTTTGCTGCAAGCAGACCAGGATCCATAGCTCCAGTAGTAGCCCTCTCTGGAGCGTCCATTTGGAAGGTAGTATTCATATTCCACTCCCTGATTGGGCTCCTGGCTGATCAGCTGAGGGGACAGGGTTAATTTTAACTCCTACTTTTATCCACACATCCAAAACGCTACCTTAAGTTTACAATTTTAAACAAACACTTATGGCATGAAGAAACTAAATGTTTCTCTTTTCTGGAAATGTTTCTCATATATTTCTGTGGCGGAGGTGTGGTCCCTGGCTCAGCTGCAGGGGAGGGAGCTCAACGGGGCGGTGCCAGCGAGGCAGGTGAGAACACAGCTGGTGGCATTTGGACTGATGACAGTCTTTTTCCCCTTTTAGTGAGGGAGGAGACGAGAGAGGGGAGGATGGAAAGCTGAGACCAGTGCAGACCAGACCGTGGGTCGTTGTATAAGAACCAAAACAAACTTGACACCTGTGAGCACAACCATTGTGTGTGTGGAGTGCATTCTACAATTTCATATTTATAACCCTGTGAAGTCTATTTGATCATGAATGGTCATTTGTTTTTTACCTCAACAACAAGTGGTTCAGTGGTGGGGCCACGGCCGATGATGGTTTCAGGGACACTGTCGCCCTCAGCTCCTCTCTGGTAGTACAGCATGGTGCCGCCAATAGGTGTGGCTCTGGAAAACTCAATTACCCAGTGGCCATTGAGATAGTACTCTCCACGTAGATTCTTGATAGCTGTAAAGAAGTTGTAAATGTCAATTATTTTGATTATCTTGTAGTGTGTTTTCTAAAAGGTCTGACACACACTTACCGAGGTAGTTACGTGTGGCATGTGTCTCTCTGATGCTGATGGTGGTGGCTCCAACGGGGATGATGAACATCTGGTTGTAGCCTGAAATAAAAGTGGCAAAAAAGAAGAAACTGGGGTTTAAACTTCAGGAGAGGATTTAAATGACACATATTTAGATGATGATGATTTATGACATTTATCAGGTACATGTTGGGTACATATATCATTTGGCATATCATTTGGGAGTAAGCGTGACCAAATTATAATATGAATCATACCGGTTGGCAGGTCGCGGGCAGTGAAGCTGTTCTTGACACGGTAGCAGGACTGGCCGTTACCCCCGCACTGCAGACAGGGGTCCTCCTGCTGAGGAGACTCCAGCATGTTGTCGCAGCCCATACGCTGATGAAAGGAAAAGTTGGGAAAAAATGATCAAAAAAGAAGATGAAAACCACAATTCACCTCAACCTGTATTCTGTGTCATTTAGGTTGTCTTCTGCAGATATAAACAAGCACAAATAACATCATTTAAAAACTTTAAATCTTGATCTTAATAAAAATCAGATGTGTTCATCTTGTAAAATTCCTGTCTTTGTATGACAACTGTCAAAGTCACGACTCCACTATAATAGAGAGAGATTAGAAATCATCTCCCGAGAATATATGTGCTAAAACATTATTTCTGTGAAACGTGTAGTTTGAAGAAAAACATGGTTGGAGGTGAAATAATTGAAAATAAATAAATAAAGACCCGAGAAAAGAGTGGATTTGGGACAGCTGTTCCCTTCAGGGAAGGTGATAGAGACATGAAGTCAGAGGTTAAATTGACGAGGTTTACTCATGAGGAAAAAGTTGCAGCAATAATTGCATGAGAAAAGAACAAGAGCAGAAGTGTTTGATGTTATACAGACTGAAGCTAATCTTTCATCCTGCTGCTCAGCTCCACTGATTGTGTCCTGTCTGATTAACGAAGTGATGCTGCATAAGCAAACCCCAAATCATGGATGGGCAGACTAATCAAATCATTAGACCTAACTGGCAACTCATATCAGGCTATGTGTTGCATTTTTTAAATAAGACCTCTACAGCTCTTCACATTCCTTTAGTGTGTGGTAAACACCAAATTGCATATGTTATACATACTGTATGGTATTTGAGCTGCCACCTGCAGGGCAGAGAGCAGAACTACAAAATATGTGCCTTGCAACTTAGTTAACTTTATCATTGAAATGTTCATGCACACATTTATTAAATTGCAACCAATATATTTTTATCAATCATGTTTTCCCAAATAGATTTTGACCTCTGCTGGACACTACGTATTCTGCATGCAAGTATAAGGTAATGTACTTTTAGTACATTACATTTAGTACATTAGTTCAAGGAGTACTTTTAGCTGTCTCCTTGTTTCCCAAGAGGTCACTACAGCGGATGGATTTTCATATTTTATTTGACACCACCCTCCCATTTATCCAGGCTTGGGCCAACACTAGGAGTAGACTAGCTTGCTCCCCATTGAGGCTGGCTCTCAAACCAGGGATCTTTTGTGTGTTTTTGTGCGTTAACCACTGCATGTAGCTATTACTACTGCATATAACTGTGTTATGTGCAATTATAAATTGCTTTAACACGTGTTTTCTTGTCCACATAGAAACCCCAGATACAAATCACACGTTCGTGTCAGGTATAACCGGGGTAAAAATGTCAGCAGGGATTGCCCTGGGGGTAAGTGCTGAGGAGAAGCCAACAGGAGCATGTTGAGACTAAAGAACTTACAGTACACTCATATTTGGAAAGTTTACCACTTAAAATAATACAATAAATTTCCCGTTACATAACCTATAACAGACAGAAAAGAATACTTATTATTAGAATTATTAATACTCTTTCTCAAGAAGTATGGAGTAATAAAAAGTTACGGTTTCAGGACATTTTCAGGACAAGTTGGAAAACATAGAATTACATTTAGATGTCACAAACCTCCTTCCTACCCTCTCTGTTTTCGTCACCTGTCAGATATTAATTTCTTTGTGTGTGTGCAAGTGTGTGCGCAATATTTGGCAGGGCATCCTACCCTGCACACTCCATCCACACAGATATCCGTCCGCCCTGGGTGACAGGGCGTACCATCAATCACGGCTCTGCGGTGGCGGTACAAAAAGTTTTCCCCTCTTGGCATGCAGTTCAGCTCACAGGGGTTCTCAGCTATCACAGAAATAAGGCTAATTTTAACAATTTAAAGAACTTAGAAATACAAATGCTCACAAATAGCCGGTGCTTGGCAAATGTCACAAGAAAATTCAGTCAATAGTATACATAATATGGCCTGTCAAAGCAAACTCTCAGCTTTGTTTTTGTTTCTGACCTCCGTAATATGGAAGCCATTTGTAGCGTTTCCCGTGGAAATCTGTCCCATCAAACTGGGAGCACTGCTCTTCGCGGAAATCTCTGGATCCCTCTGGACAGTCCTGAGTTGAATAAGGAGATGCAGCAAAGGTCAAAGGTCAGTAATCCTAAAATAACTACTGTATTGTATTTTGAATTAATACAAATTCAAAAAATATATTTACAATGTCTTCTTTAAGGAAGAAACACACTTTTGTACTTTGATTTGCCTTAGGTTTTAGTGCATCATAGTGATTATTGCTATCAAGTTATCGTGTTTAAAAAAAAGTCCTTTGATATATAAAAAAAATTTAGAGGTCTAAATATAAAAGTATACATGAAAATAAAAGGTTGACCATTAAAACCAAATTAGTTTCACATGTGATCACCTGGATGTTGCAGGACCGATATGACTTGTCTGGTCCCACACAGTTGTGCCCTCCATCCTCCCTGAGTGCAAATAAAATAAAACATGAACATGACATTTCATGTAATACTTTTATGAATGAACCCTGATCTGCCCGATATAGTGAGAGCAATTTCCACAAGAGTAGAAGAGACTAAGACCTCCTGACTGACTTTTATCCTTGCTTCTACTACTCCTTATGCTTTAAAAACACTCCACAACATCATAGATACATTTCTTTAGATGCTTTAGAATCTAAAGCATCTAGGGTTGCATCAGGGCTGCCCAATCCCAGTCCTCGAGAGCTACTATCCTGCAGCTTTTAGATGCATCCCTACTCCAACACAGCTGAATCAAATGGTTTGATTACCTCTTCAGCATGCCATCATGTTTGGCAAAGGCCTGATAACAAGCCATTCATTTGATTCGGGTGTGTGGGAAGAAGGATGCATCTAAAAGCTGCAGGACGGTAGCTCTCGAGGACCGGGATTGGGCACCCCTGCTTTAGATGCTCTGTGTTTCTTAATGACCACTTCATTTAAATTTGTATCACAGACTTTCTGTTAAAAGAAGATGTTCACAAATAATCCTGTCTTCCTTCTCTCACCCCAACCGCCCCTCCCTGAGCCTGGTTCTGCTGGAGGTTTCTTCCTATTAAAAGGGAGTTTTTCCTTCCCACTGTCGCCAAAGTGCTTGCTCATAGGGGGTCATATGATTGTTGGGTATTTCTCTGTATGTATTACTGTAGGGTCTGCCTTACAATATAAAGTGCCTTGAGTCAACTGTTGTTGTGATTTGGCGCTATATAAATAAAATTGGATTGAATTGAAAATGGGCTGACGATCCAGTATAAAGTCATTGCCCTTAACTTCCCATCAAACTCTCTCACATCTTTCCCAAGTAAAGTTTCATAAAAACTTGACAGCTTCTCATTGCGAGACAAAAACAGTTAATGAGTAGGTGCAATGAATGTATGCAAATACAGCAGAGACTGTCTGCACAAGCAGAAATAACAAGTTTCAGCTCTGACATTAAACAACATTCCTCTTTAATCTGTACCTGTTAAAAAAATGACCTCTCAGCACAGCAGAAGCCTCAACATCAACATTGCTAAGCCCTAGTTTTGCACAGACATCCGTGCACATGCCAGTAAACTGCGAGATAGCAGACTGTTTCGCCACTCACCATTCCAGCACTGCTGATAATTCATGATTTAGTCATCTTCAAAAGTACCTGGCCTTAAGCCGTAAAACAAGACATGCTCCTGTCAGCACACCTGAACTGAAACTAAAACATGTCAAAACAACGGCTTTTCATTTAATAATGGAAAACAGCACATTGGCAGCATTAAACACTACTTTCAGTTTAAAATGATACAAAACAGAAATGTGGAAAAGTGGCAGTTATTCATGCAAAATTATTGATTGCACATAATTGAAACTGATTATAGCCCCGACTGACAAAATGACAACCCCAATCATGCTTGTTTTTCTTATGAATGTGTGTACTTTTTTTTTTTTTTACTAAAATGAATGTATGGTGAGACGTGGGAGTTCCTGTAAAGCACAGAGGGAGCTGTCAAATCACTGTGTTTAAAGGAGTGATTCAGCAAGCCTGGCAGACAAGACATGACAGAGTTCATCTGACTGGCAATGGGTAGGACCTCTTCCCTATTATTCATCATTTTCCTAAAGAAGGGCTACAGACTCACTATAAGGCTCTGACTCACTGGCTGACTGCACGAACATGTTGAAAACAAGCATCAAGAGACATCAGACATCAAAACACTGCCATCAAGCTTCTACAGAGATGTAGAAGCTGCACAAACAGCTATATCAACACTGTATGATAAAAACAACATATCTAACAGCTTGTGGTCAGGTAAATGCAACAAGATATGACACATGAAGTAAAACAAAGTACTTAGACCTGTTAAAAACAGCTCCTCACAGACTTGTTCTGTCTAGTGGGAATATTTCTGCGCAAAAGAAAATAAGACTTGTTGTTTTTAGAAAGGTATTCAGTATATTAAGCTAAATTATAGGCCGCTGAGATACTCCGTCGTCTACTTTACAGGAAGACTTTTGTTTTAAGCCTCTTTGATAGTTTTATTTATAGCGTGGCTATATTAAGATTGACTTTTTTCTCTATTTTTGTAAGGTACACTGGAGAAAACGAGCGGAAATGCAGGAAACAAAGCGGGGAAGTGACACAGGGGAGAGAGGCGGGGGTGTACCCTGGACAGGTTGCCAATCTAAGGCTAACACAGAGAGACAGACAATCATTCCTGCCTACATTCTCAACTATAGCTTATTTACTCTCGCCAGTTCACCTAGCATTCACTTCTTTGTCTCAAAATGAAATGATCCGTCAGTGCTGCCACAGCAGTCTGTCACACACCTGAAATCCTTCAGCCAGTAAGTTAACAATAAAATCTACAGCTATCCATCCATCCAGTTTAATCCCAATATCCAGGTAGAATTTTGAATGCTAGTTTTATGTGTAATATAGTATCTTTACTTCAATTTTCTCATATTTGTATCTCTGTAAAAGATCTGAGTACTTCTTCCAAATGGCAATATGCCAGACGGCCCCCAGCAATACTGCAACATTTACGGGAAAAGCTGGGAGCGTGCTTACATATTAGTCACATGTGAGAGGAGAAGCTTTAAAAACCAATCCAAAAACGAAAGAAAAACTGTACGTGTTACTTAAATGTAACAACACGTGTGCCGCAAAGGAAACCTAAAATTTAATGTTGACTTTTAAAACCACTACTGAAGCAGAAAAATGGCAGCTCGAAACGTTCACTTCCCACCTGATCCTCTTCAGCAGACAACCGACAACACACAACACAGAGACGTCCTTTTAATATTAAAGGGCCCCTCCCTGCAGTGTGTTTTTGGAAGTAAGACAAGCCGACATCCTCGTGACTTCAAGGCATTCTTTCACAATAAAAATACACAGTCTGTGCCCGTGAACCTCACAATTAGCTTTATTCAAACAGGAAAAAACTCTGTGTGTGTGTCATGAATCGCTGTGTGGCAGGCAAGCAGGAGTGGTGGACCCAAAATGCAGAACTCAGACACGGAAGTGAAACTTAAGGCGCAGCTTTATTGCTGGGAAAAACCTCGTACAAACTAAACTCACCAAAAGAAAACCAAAAGTCAGAACAGAGGAACCAAGGACTGAAACACTGGAAGGAAACACTAAACTGGAGCCGGAGACCAAACACTAGGGACATAGAAGCAGACCACACAGCTAGTTGAGGGTACGACGCGACACTGACACAGAGAAACACAGGGCTTAAATACACAGACGGCAGTAATCAAGGGATGAGAGACAGAAGGGGAACACACCTGGGAGAAATCACAGCTGACGAGACAGGGGAAACGTAACTGAGCACACTCACATATGACACAAACCTTCACAATAAAACAGGAAACTCAGACACATGGAACCAGGCAAGACATTGAACTAAACAGACAGATTCACAAACAGATGGGGTGACACCATAGACAGAGACAGACTCAAAGGCAGACCAAATATAACACACAGAACTCAAACAATAATAATCATCATCATCATAAACTAGAAAATGATAACTAAAAGCGCTGGGTCACCGACCCAGGACCATGACAGTGTGTGTGTGTTATAAGTTTATACATGTATTTATGTACATCAAGATGCATTAAAATGGATAAAGTTAATGTGCAGAAGACTTACCTGTGAGTAATACAGCGCCTAGTTCTCACAGTCACACCCCCGCCACAAGTCCGACTGCATTCTCCATATGGACCCCATGAGTCCCAGTAATCCACACTGGGCCCCTGGGTGCAAAATTAGACATCAGAATTTGACAAAATTACTTTTTTTTCTCAGTGTTTTTCTGTATTAGCTGGGAAATTACCATGAGAGCTGGAGTCAGGAGCAGCTGTAGGATTGCCAAAGGCAGGAGCATCCTCGTTATTCCCTGGAAAAAAAAGAAGAATTAAAGGGCATCCAGAGTTAGTCACTGTGACTAATAAAGATGACTGCACATGCAGCAAACTTTTTCAAAAACAAGCCAAGAGTGAGAGAGAAACAGTAATTGATTAGGCGCACAACAAATGGGTTAACACAAGCAGAACAGAGCTCTAAGGAAGAGGGGAAAAGACTAAGCAAAACACTGCCGGCTGACACTCAGTAGACATCATTTTTGTTGCCTTGCAGCATTTCCTAAAATTTCCTAGTACATAAATCAGTTTGTGGTGCTTCTGCACTGCTCGTACTTCAGTGTTGGGTACTTTGACAGTTTTACAGACAGACTTTTACAAAGTTTTTTTCCTGGCAAAATGCAAAAACATTTACTGGCTCATCTTTAGATATGCATTGTTTTTCTTAGTCCTCTATAACAGTAAGTTTAATATGTTTTCCACTGGTCCAAATAGTGATTATTGAAAAAATATTCACCAAATGTATGACTTGTTGTTCCAGTTATTGTTAAAACTGGACATTCACAATCCAAAATGCGCATATAGTGACAGGAAGAATGCGGACATGAAGAAAGCCTCTTTAGGAAAAACACTTTTTATCAGATGTCCATCACTTCAAGCGCCAGCCTTATCATTTCCCTCTGCTATCTCATTGCTTAATTGCTTAACTGAGCTAAAATGTTTCCTTTGTTGCATGTGGAGAGGCTGTTTGTTTGTTTTGTTTTTTCCAGGGCAAATTGCATGTTTCCTGCCTCTCTGAGAGTGAGAAGGGGGTTGTCTGTAGCTGCCAAATTACCCCTGACCGCTTAGCCATGACCACCAAACTGAAAGGAAAGTTACTTCACAGCAAATACACAAAACAAAGCAAAAAGGATGGCCGTGCCCAAGTGAAGAGAATACAGGGTGTCAGCTGGTCTGTCTCAGACATATATACACAAACACTTACTGAGCCATAGGGACAAAATTGAGTAACTTAATGCGGTAATTGGCCTGGGTGGGGTTAATCTGAGGCTGTTCTGTCTGGACCCGCAGCAGTCCTTGATGATGAAACCAGCACCTCCACATAAAACTTGTCATGTCATTTACTACTGGAGTGGTAACTGGTTTCATGAATGAGTTAATAAAATAGTTAATAAAATACAAATCTCTGATCCAAACCCTGTAATGTTTAATTGACATTTTTATAATTTCTATTTATTGTTTTTTTTTTTGGGGGGGGGGGGGGGGGGGGGTTGCTTCAAGGCTGGTTTGTATTTTTTTTCCCTTAATAACAATTAACTATTTTTTTAATGAATTCATTTTACACCCATCAACAACCACATTAATCGTGAATTTCTGCTTTCATTTGTTTCGGTGGGTTCAGCTATAAATATTAGTTCAAAAACAATAATTTAGAAATAAACTCGCCAAATTAAGCACTTTCGAAAATAAATAGAAACACAGAAATACCCCCACAGAAACACATATAATAAAAAAAACTTCATATCATTATATTATAGCTTTATTAAAAGTATTACAACATATTAATGCATCCTGAAACAAAGCACTAGAATCAAATATTAATTGATTAAAGTTTTAAGCTAATAAATCTTAGTTGTTTTAACAGCGATTGTAAACTGATCCCGACTATAATCGGTCACTGATCTATTTAGAAGTTCCCTATGAGATTCCAGCCTCGCTCCCTTTTTATTGTGCCGGCTCATAAAGCCTTTATCCTCGGGCGATTACATGCTTTTATCCAACCAAATTAACAATTATTCGCCAGTCAGCGAGGGCATGCAGTGTCTTGTGTCCTCTGTACTGTGGGTGAAGAATCTCTGCATCAGGCACCTGATCAGCCGGGAAAATTATAACAATTTAGCCTATTTGTGCTATTTCCATATTAAATAATAATAATAATAATAATAATAATAATAATAATAATAAAACATACTATTAAAATAAATGTTACCTCCTATGGTACCTCAGTGATATTTACAAAAGCACTATCGGTGACTCGGTGACCGTGAACAGGTTAGTTTTAAAAACTTGAAGTAAAGTCAGGTAAAATAATGTTGGATCCTCACCGTGTTCAGCGGGTTTAATAATGTTTTCTTGGAGTTCCAACCCGTCGGACCTTGCAGCGCGCAGCAGACCTGACAGCTGGTTTCTCTCTCTCCGAGTTTTGACCTGAAGATGCTACCGGTGCAGTGTCCTGGATATATGAGGAAAGTTATCTGGGAGGAAACCTCTCGCTCCCTCTCTATTTCTTTCTTTCTGCCGTGCGCCCAGCCTACGAGGAGAAGAGAAAGACCCGTTGGTTAAACCTCCTCCGCGTCGTTACCGCGCCTTTTAACCAGGAGCTCATCCAACCCGATTACAGCCCCCCCTAACTGCAGAGGAGGGAACATTTTACTCAACATCTCTAATTTCAGACTGTAATAAAAAAAAGGGTTAATCAGCATGTTCGCTTGTTCTAGGCTCCCCACAAGCAAACGCTAAAAGAAAAAGACCCGCTTTGCTGTAACCAAACGCGTTATTATCATGCTCCCCCACACCGAACATGTAATACCGAACATGTAACACCAAGTTAATCATCCAAAGTCGTGGCTCTATTTTAAATGCTCAGTTACAAATTGTAAAACTGAAAATAGGTCCCAAATGTTCCCTGGATTGTATGTTCAGCAGGAATGTGTTGGTTTAATCTTTGTGTTTTACTTTTGCCTCTTTATGTCTTGAGAAATTGCGCCTGAGAAGAGAAACAGCCAAAGACATTCAAAAAATAATAATTACATCAAATATAGATTTCCTTTTTCAGAAGAAAAATTGTACATTATGCTAAATTCTCTGTGGGTTGTGTGGTCTGTTACTCAGAACTGCAATAACAGAAATCCAAGTAGACTAATATAGAAAAAAGAAGTCACAAATTACAAAACATCCCTTTCTTTAGTTTCAGATATCCAACTTATTACCGCACAATCAGTCAAGATGTACACTGAAAACTGCTGTCAATAATTCAAAAGTCCGATTTTTTTCCTCTTTTTTTCTTTTTACATTTTTTTCATAATCAAAACAATTTAACAGACATATGTCTAACAAAGTGTTTTGATGACCTCTTACTCAAACAAAAAGAGATCATCTTAATTACAATCACCCAATTCTTACAGTTCTTACAGGAAAAACAGACTGAAGAAAACTAACTAAAAAAGACACCTGTGTAGTTTGATAGCACCAAAACGTTCAAGGCTTTAACAGCAGTAAATATACCTGTAACAGTTTTGTCAAATTACACTGGCGTGGATTAAAAGTCCACCTACATGCCCCACTTTGACATATATTTGTGCAACTTTTATAAGTTGCCACTTTACCTAATCCCCCAGTCTTGTATCAAAGCCTCTCTGGGTGTCTTCCAGTCCCTCAGGGTGATTTGTTGTCCAATCATAGCAGTCATTGTCCAGTGTTACTTGGGCCCCAGTAAAATTGGTGAACATTTTTAAACTCTACAACTCTTAAATCTGATTTCAAACTTGACAAAAACAGTCTATTTGTAGAATTTGGTGATTTAATTTTCAAAACTTACTGAAAATGTTAAAACTAGAAGATACGAGCACAAAAAGGTTGTTGTTTTTTTCCTTTGGGTTTTAAATGCAAAACCAGATCTATAAACATCTCCAAGTATGTAACATGATTTTTTTTTCCGTCCCACTTCTTCTTTTCCCAACCACAATGTGAAAACTCCACAACCATCTAAAATTATATAGTTTGGGATTCATAAAAATACAGCTTGGGTGTGATTTGTAGTTGTTTTGAGCCAGCTTTCTACAGTTGACATCATTTGTTTTTCGTCCAGAGAGACACTGTGGTCCAGAAACCTTCCTGAAGTGTTTTGTTGCTGAATCTTTGGCTCCAAAAAGCGCTTTTTTCTTCTTACAATGAAACCTCATTTTAAATCTTTAAGCCAGACTGAGTGGCTCTCAAATCTAAGAATGAATATGTAGAATTTCAGTTACCTTCATCTTTAGTGCAAACTTGGCAAACCTAGCACACCTCTCACTCTGCTTAAATTCAGTGGACCATCAACAAGACACTGAGTAACCTCCTGTGGTCCAAATCAAATATACCACCTAGTTATAGCTCTCAACACTCTGTCTTTTCAATCCAGTGTATGACATTTACAATAACATGCTTCCTATACACTGCACAACCGTGCTTTTATTTTATCACTGGTAAGGCCGTTGTTTAAAGAGACCACAGCAGCCTATTTTGGTAAACGTATATACTTTAAACCATCAAAAGCAAAAGGACTCATTGTGATATTGATTGATATATATACATTTTCAGACTTATATATCTCACAACACAGCTAGCGCTACTCTCAGAAACCGTGGATGAAAAATGAGCTTGAATAGTCACGACAATTTTGCATAATAATGATCAAGGAAGTGATTTCAGAGCCCATTGCTCATTCAGTGGGCTGGTTCCAGTTATTGTGCAAATGTACTGTTCAGAAGGCTGAGGAAACCTGCTATCCTCAGCCAGCTGAGGATAGCAGCTGAGACGAAGTGACTCGGATGAGTGATGACAAAAAACATATTGAGCTAAAATAAGGGTAATAGGTGCACTTTAATTAAATTAAAAACTCTTTAAATCACCTTGACTGTCATTTGGTACATTGTCATTATTATTACTCTTCTTAACAAAGTAGCTCAGAGTTGTTGTCATTGGAAGAAAGCATGCTACACAAGCTTGTTCCAACATTCATTTGATGACGAACGTCTTTGAACTGGCCTTTTTTTATCTATATTGTACTCCTAAAGTGTTTTTACAATCCAAACAATTTTGATATCTTCTACAGTTTCAACACTGCAAAACTCTCTAGAGTTAAAGGAACTTTTTGCAGTACCACTCACTTTGTACATACTCACAATCAGAGTGTTGATTAGTGTTGGATTTCAACTACTGAGAAAGCTTGTGAGGAATATCGAAGAGAGGATCCAAAGTCAGGATGCAGTCAGGTGAAACAAGCAAAATGCAAACCTCAGTCACTGAAGTCTCCTGTTGTTATCTTACAATAATGTCCTTTATCATCTTGAATATGTTTTGTCCTTGAAGGCAGCGATGTGCCTGCTGTGGGAGGCAAAAGGCCACCTGTGACATGAGTTTTAAACCTACAGTACATGAATCTCAGTGCATGTTTGAAGATCTGTGCTGTGGTTCACGGCAGTGAGCTCAGATTTCAGGGCAAATTAAGGTCCCTGATGTGTTCTGTAGAATATATTAACTGAACATTAACAGGTGAAGATGATTTGAAGTCAGAGTTGTGGAATATTTTTTTAAAAATCTAGGCACACGTGTGTCATTGCTGTCTCACAAGATGTCAGCAGAGATGTGATTGGTCAAATGTTTTTCAAAACAGCTGTATGGAATTTTACTCTTATGGACAAAAGTACAAGAAAACAACAAAATGCCACAAATAAGATTTGAGAGAGAAAGATTTTTTTGTATAGCTGTCAGCACCGAGTCTGCTCCTTCGCTCTGCCTGAGAAGGCTTAAGGCAGCCACACCCTCAGACTGTTTCTGTGGATTGATTTTAAGCCTTGTGGTGATCATCCCTATCTGGGTTTGTTAAAAGTAGGCAAAGGGTGGATTTGACTGAAACCCCAAAAACAATACATGATGAGAGCAATTACAAAGTCACCGCACCCTAACACGTACCCTGATATATCGTTAGTTTTGCTTTAAATATGACTATAACTTGAAAATGATCGTGAGGTTGTGCTCCTTGAGACTTTAAACTAGCAATTAAAACTTTACAGAGGAAATAAATCAAGTGAAAATCAGGCTCATTTCTCAGAACCTTTTATACAATCGGACTTCCTTTCAAAATCAGTGAAGTCGCCACCTGCTGGCTTTCAGAAAGAATGCATGTTTAATGCACATGTTTGACTACATCAGTTTTTTTATGCAGTGTAAAACCATTAAAATTGTAAATTAACATGATGCAAAAAGCCTTAACACAAGCAACTGTCAGTCTTATATGCATAAGATGTTTAGAATTTAAACATGCTGAACAACAAATCAAAGCACATTTTCTCTGTTTTTCTTGTATTTGCACTCTTTCTGTGGGCGGGAGGGATAGCAAGTTATTTTTAGTCCTTGACACAACCAAAAATAGCTGACCACCCACTTAAAAATAATATCCAGTGGCTTTTATCCTGTAATAACTTTACAGGGAAGTGTATCTTAGCTTCCAGGAATGTTGTTATAATTATAGAAATCTAATGAGCATAATTCTACTCTGTGCATAATCTTCACCCATTTTCAAGTCCACACATTCCACATCCACATCTCTTAAAGACTTTCGGTTTTTATTCCTGGTCATTAAGTCTTGTTGCAGCTTTAAAAGGACTCTAAGCCACAGGATTTAAGTTACATTCAAATTACTAAGCTTTACAGCCACTCTGCCGCAGGCATTAACTGTACACATATGTTCACTCTATATGTTAAAGGAAACAGCTGTGCCCAGTTTATTTTGCATGCCCACCCAGATTCTAGACATCATCTTCAACGAGCAATACTTTGTTCTTTTTCCATTCGCCTTCCAGTCTGGTTTTCCTACAGGACTGGGTCACATCGGGTTCCCACTCTGCATGTCGGCCCTCAGAGCTGCCTGCTGAGCTTCTGAGCTTGCCTTTCTTTTGCATTGAAGGCATATTTTGTGTCCTGTAGCTGTTCTATAATCTCCTTGGCTTCCTTCATCTCCACAGCGAGCTGGTTGTACTTCTCCACCAGCTCCTGGTTCTCTCGCCGGAGCTCCACCACCAGCTGGCTCAGCTCCTCGCTCTGCCTTCCGCAGTGCGTTTTCAGCTGCTCCATCTCCGACAGTGTCTCCTCCATACGCTTCACCAGGCTCTCCAGCTTGTCCTTGGACATCTCTGGTGGTTATTTATTCACCTTTACGGGCTTTTCTGCTCTTTTTGTCAAAGCTTCGTGTCCTCTCTCCCGTGCCGCTGAGTGTCTGCGCTTGTTGTCTGCACAGAGCGATTAACGAAGCCTAATCCTCAATTCCTTGCATGTCTCACATGCAGAAGACGTCCCTCCCTGCACGATAATCTCCTTATTAGCACTATCCTGGGAAACCTCTTACGTGCACAGGTGTGATACACAGCCACAAAGTCTCCTGGCTAAATCGACTCCCATTAGAGGATGACAGTGATTGGCAGATTACCTCAGTTCACTCTGTGGTCTCACATGCCCAGTAAAGGAGCTTAAACAGCCACAGCCACAGAGGGATGTGGAAAGTT